GGCTCTGTGGTTTCTGCATCAACCTAACTCTAAACACAAGGTAGAGTTAATATTTATCACAATCACAGAAGACATTCACAGCTTCAGTTCTAAAAGTACATGTGCAACAGTTCTGGAGGTGGAAATACAATTTGTATGTTCACAGATGGCTACTCGCTGCTTATGTGAAGTCTCTTTCACCTCCTGACAGCAGAGCCATCCTTCCGCTTCAGTCACAATCTGTTGTGCTGTTAGCAAGCATACAGAAACACAAAATACGCTCATACATTGTTTGAAATCAATAGCTGGAGGGAGCTAAGAAAAGCCTCTTGCTGAGCCTTCTTTCACAATGATCTTTGCATATGCTAAAGCCAAACAAATCAGCTCAGCTTTAAGTCCTCCAGCACTTCTTCTGTGTAGTTCACATTGTCTTATCAACACTGCAGCCTGAGCTTACACCAGTTATATAATAAAATATAAGGCTGATAAGGGTCCAAATTCCAGTCTCAGTACTTTTCTATGTTCACACACACACATGATTATCTGTAAGTTAAAAATAATATAAAGGTGTGGTATAGGGTGTGAATAACTGGGTGTTGCCTATAAAACCGGTTTACCATGGAATCTTTTTCTCAACAATAACCACGCTACATGCCACCTACAACCGGGATCTTTTACCACACGTGATGAGAGCAACGCTGAAAAGTCCCGTCTGATAATCACAGTTGCGTTGGTTTCGTTAGCGACTGATAAAGGAATCTTAATGTTGCTCAACACATTGGATCCAGCAAAGACTCTGAAGGTTAAGTAGCAGTTTAAACCAGAAGGCATTTTCTTTAAGACGGTGCCGACTCTAATGGAGTGGCGGCTTATACAATCAAAACCAATATAACCCGTTGTTTATGACATACGTCTGCATTGAGACTGAACTAACACGACGGGACAAGACATGACATGAATGAGGCAGTTCTGCTTTTGATCTGCGTTATAGTTTTTTTATACTCTCGCCATTTTTATCACGATGCACAAAACCACCAATTTCCTAAATCTGATTCTGACCCTGACATCAATACACCGAAATATTACACCGATAAATTACACACCATATTACAGTGATCTTATTCTCAGATTACTAATCCATCTTCACTTTATACGAGCCATAATGACATTTAACTCAGCCTTTGCAACAAGTGTATTCAGTTTGATTCACATTTCTGAAATGGATCCAAAATGTCTTTACTTATTTCAGACAAAACAAAACAGCTAACTGTCTCCATACAAGTGAGGAAGTATATTTGCACTAGACATCAGATGGTTATACATAGATGTCAGAAACAAATAATGATTTACTTTTGAGTTTGAACAATGTTCACTTCTTAGAAAAGTTAATTTTCCATCCTGAAGCAAGGACACATGACCAAAAACAACAACAAGCTAGTGCAGGACTTCGTTTTTTTTAAGCTTGGTCTCTAGAGATGAATGCAATCTCTCCCCATGTGTCGACCAGAAATACTGACATCAACATGTAATAGCAAGGGCCTTAGGAAAAAAAAAAAAGGGTACAGAACTTCAAGCTGAACAACCCTTCACGTGAACGTTTAATTTACATGTGGATATCTGATAACATGCGGTCGCGTTGATGAAAATCGAGGGCTGCACTGAATCGTCGCACTTCAACTTAACAGACAAAAACACAAGCCGAATCTAAGCCAAGACTTTGACAACATAAACACTGCACTGAGAAGAGAGACTGTGATAAAAACCCAATTAACTGAGAAAGACATTTACCAAATTGAAAACATATATGGGTACGTCACGGGGAAAGGTTTCTTTAAATTGAAAAACAGATGCTGCTGCCTTGAAGGTCAACTGGATAAAACACTCACAGCCAGCAGTACAGAATACAACTGGGGAGTAATTAACCAAACTATTGAACAGACAAATCAATCACAAGCTCTGAATACTCAAGTTTAAGTAAACACATGGCAGGGTGTCTTATTCAGTGAAGTCGATATCAGAACCAAAATGAATCACAACATAGTGATTATAAAAAAACGATGTGGGTTGTACAGAAAACGGTATAATGTTGTGATGGGGGGTATGTTGGATATTGTGTCATTGTAATTGCCCATGAATTCTTGGAAGCACAGTAGATCTGTGGTTCTACACGAAGGCTTCAGTTGAATTGAACATCCTTAACTGAAACAAGTGAGGGCCTTTTGTTATCTTCTGTCTCCATGCACGCTGTTGTCCTTCAAGCTGTTTACACAGGCAAATAGTGAATAGTGAATACACTGATTTTCGTAGGAGGACGCCTCAAAAGGTGTTGCTGAAAATGTTAACTTACATTTAAAGGTATACAACTACAGATTATTTTCATTGGCCATGAATATTGGTTTTATCCTCTTTCTTGAATGATGTAAAAAATCAAACAGGAAATTGTGAGTGTTGATCATCTGCCACTTCTGACGTAGAAAACCTAAAAGACTGCAAAAAGTGAATACGCCTGACCATGACCATCAAAATACAAACTACATCATAAAAACAAGCATCAACAAGTGTTCTTATTTTAATTTAAAACATTTACAACAATGTCATGGAGGCAGCTTTTACCTACGAGAGCCAACATTTACCCTGCACTCAGCAGATGGCAAGGTGTGTTGTATTCCCCGACCACAGCCCCATCACAGGACGAGTAAATACACCTGAACACAATCACACTTAGAAAGCTTGAATCAAATAATGTTGACGTTTCTTTCTTTCTTTACACTTAAAAGTTAATAAATCACCTTAAAAAGTAGGCAATGTTTTTAATGTAAAAGCTGACAGCTAGTGCATTCATCTTAGTCGCTGAATAACTAGAATGGTTGATGTTGTAGTGGTAGCTTTTTAATCATTAATGAGTGGGGGTTACTTCACGTTTTTGTGCTTCACGTTTTTGTGCATTGCATCCAGAGTAAACTGCATGCCAACAAATGAGCCTTAAGGTGTTGTTACTGTTTTATTACTAAACCATCACTTAGTATTTCAGGTGCTAAAAAGGTGCATTTTTATTATGAATTAGGAGATAACATACGGGGTATACAGTTAACCTGAGGTGAGCTGCAGAGATGTACATGCAGGTGAAACCAGCTGTCATCAGAAAAACGTCAACAACATTTAGCAGCTAGCTGAGTCAATCCCTCTGATTCTCCACGACCGGCGCTAATGTCGCCTACATTCATTATTATGGTTCATACAAAAGAAAAGAAAGCAGTGCGTCGCTTTCCTTCAAGCAGCAAAGGTCACCGGTGTTCAGAGGATATCAGACAGGCAGGTACAGAGCTGAGGTGCAGCCGGGCTTTGCTAGCAGGCAGCGGACACAAACACAAACACAATGTACGGTACCTTCAGCGGATCCCGACGTCTCGACCCGCGGTCTTCGCTTTGTGGGGCAATAATAAAAAAAAAGAAACCTACATGAGGATGTGTGGTGGTGGTGTTGGTGGTGTTGTTGTTGTAGGCTACAATGGTACTGAAGCCGTGCTGAGGTAGCACCTTGTGTAGCACTGACGCCAGTGTTACACCTCCGTGACGTGGAGTCTCTTTTCCTCCTTCGTCTCTTCCGCGTTGGTTTGCAGCGTGCACAGCGTGACGTCGTCGTCGTCGTCTCCTCCTCCTCCTCCTCCTCCTCTCCTCCTCCTCCTCCTCCTCCCACAGCTCAGCATCCTTCAGCAGGTGGATGGGCAGTATGGTATTTCTCCCGACCATTATAACCAATAAACCCAACATAAGAAGGCAGTCTTTAAAGTCACCAGCATGCAAAGCAAAACACAGATGTGTGTGTGTGGCATACTGTATAGAATAATACAATAGATTTACTTTATTGATCCCAAACTGGGAAATTGTAGCAGCAGGTTGTCCAAACACACAATATGTGCAAAAAACACAATATTAGCAAATTTAAATACACAATATAATATTAATTATTATGATGGTTCTTGTGATGGTTGGGTTATATATGTCTGGTTGTGTATCGTGCACTTTGGGTTCTTTTCTGTTGAACTGTATTTAATTATTTTTGGTATTTTGCATCTGTTATATTCTTACTGTTGTTAATGTTTTTCTGTGTTTGGTTTAGTTTGCTTTGTTCTTGCTGTTTGTCAAAGCACTTTGTAAACCTGTGTTTTTAAAAGGTGCTATATAAATAAAGTTATTATTATTATTATTATTATTATTAAATACAAAGTAAATAAGCACTAAAAATATCAAAACTAAGAATGAGAATATATACAACCAGGATTTAACTAAACACTACTCGTCTTAAATATGAAAGATTAAATGTAAATGTGTAAAAACAGAGTTGTAAATGGACAGTACTGAGTGTCGACATGTTATCAGCAGAAACTATTCAATATAACGACGAGTAGACAGACAAATGAAGTGAACTTGAGTGGAGGGATAATTTGTAAATTTAGCATGTGAAAGGTGTAAGGGTGGAAATTGTTACAGTCTTCAACTAAGCTTTCAATCGAGCTTTATTATATCACCTTTCAGACAAATGAAATGCAATGCACAGTGCTTTACAGCGACAGAAGAAAAAAACATAAAATAGTGACAAAACACGGTACAGACATGTTTGTTTTGGCCGTTTACAGGTTTTAACCTATTTTAGTCTTTGACAGTCTAATATCCTTAAGCCTGCTGGCTACTTTTGATGGTAGCTTAAATGGCTCTGTAATTAATTAAAATGTAATTCTACGCAAGTAAGCCAAAGTGAATCTGGGGTAGAAAGCAGAGAAGGTCACAGTGGCAAAAGGTCATACAAGTCCTTTTCCACTGTTTTTTTTCTCATGTATAGCCTGCATAAACCCATTGCTCACATATCTCTTTAGATGCATTTCATTAAAAAGCTTAAGTGGCATCGAGTTAAGTTCAGAGGTTGTTCTGTGGAGGTAACTAACAGGCTTCTAGTTAACAGTGCCCATGCAAGAGCCGTTTAATTCAAGTAAAATGACGTAAATAACAACAAAGAGACGGAGTAGATTTAAAAACACACTAGTTTCATTTATTGGAATTCCCACACAGCAAATTGAAAAATGTAGCATTAACAGGAATATGAGCGAGGAACAATATTTCCACATCTTTACTACACATACAGACACCCACCACTTACACACCACATCCAAATCCTCTGGAGAAAAAACATAAATGGACAAATTTACTGCCACATATTTAAGAGTTCAGAAACAATGAGTGTTACTGGGGGGGGGGGGGGGGGGGATACAAATAAAGTAGTGTTTAGATTTCTCTCAGTATCCCATTTCAACTGGAAAGCCCATTTAAATCCACAAAGAAAAGTAAAAACTAACAGCAGTGCAAGTTGTTTTACCAGGCTCGTCTAAATCTCTATACTACAGCCTGTCCAAAAATATTGCACTCACACGTTTATTACACACACACACACACACACATACACACACACACACCTGCAGAGCCAAACAGTTGCTGACATGCTACAGACTTTTAAAGTGCTAGCTTGGAATACGATTGAGCGAGCCAGCCTGCTAAATATTTGGTTCTAAATTCATGGCTGAAGAGCAGGCTACGATGAATTGTTCTGTAAGATCAGATGTGACGTTGAGATAACATGCCATTTATCAGATTTTCTGTAACTACATACAACTGTGCGGTGACTCCCAAGTGGAACAAAAACAGCCAACAAAAACCACCTTAAAAACACATGGAAAAGTAACATTCAGCTGTTTGTTTTGTTTAAGAAACACAACAGGAATACATTCTGTGATGGAATTCAAACTGAACTTACCCTGCCATAAATGCATAGAGGTGTTTTTCAAGACATAGAAACAGTCAATTTAAAGTACAGTTGTGTGAGCTTTTGACGATAGAAGTGAAATTGACCAACAATGTGAGACAAAGACATGCAAACAGAATCCAAAAGTTTGTTTTTAAAGACGTTATCGTTAATCTAAACCTCAGAGCAAGGAATTTATAAAATGTTTTAAAAGCCTAACAAAAACTCCATTAGCAAAAACATTGAAAGTGATTAGCAAAAAACACCACCACAAAGAGAGGGAGAGAATGTCGTTAGTACCGTTTGATAGAAGGCAGCTGAACAAGGTTACAGAAGAGTCATCGATAGTGATACACATCTTTAAAGTCCACGAGCAAACAGCGACTGTTAACATAAACATTTAAAGATGTACTTAATTTCACAGAAAATAATAGAATCTGGATTATTATGTACACATGAATTAAACATTTGGAAAGATCAGCTTATTATCGTACATGAAAGAGAAGGCGGATATGTTGAACTCGATTTTGTTTTGGACAAAACTGCAACTCAAATAAAAGTCATTTCTGCGAGGACAGGTACAGTAGTTAAGGTTTTCCAGGCCTGACTGATAGAGGTAGGTAGCATCGGCCCAAATCACAGGGCTAGAAACCTGAGAAAACACACCCACCTTTTACCCTGATCCTACAGAAATCCAACCAGACATGAATGTACAAACAAACCCATGTGCAGGCACATTTACAGTATATGTCTGTTAAACAAAAATAATAATAATAATGTGTGGTCGCCTATAGCAAACCGTCTGAATAACGTGCTCTCAGCCTTAAATATCAGATCTGCTTTAACCAATCAACCGCTGAGGAGTCTGTCTGATAATGTGATCACCTGTGACATGCTAATATGCTACACTTCATGTGTCTGTACTGCAAGTAAACTGTGGTTCAGTTAGAAATAAAAAAAAAAGGTACTGAACAGTGTGTGTTTAGTGATAGCACTTTTGAAAGAAACCTGAATTACTGTGTTGTTTGTTTTTAAACTGTGTTTACAGGCAGCTTGGCCACAGAGATGTGTTTTGCACTTAAAGTCAGCACCAGAACCAGCACGCTTAGGCTGTAAGTGACTCTGAAGCTGTGAAAGCGATGTTCACTGCAGGTACAGCGTCGAGGTACCCGGCTGGCTGAACGATGTTGAAAGTCACATTCAGTGCTGCGCAAACAGTGAGAGGCTTTTAGAAACTCCTCATAAAATGGGAAAACAAAGTTCATGATGATGTGAAAGTGAGACGTTAATGTGCTGATTTTGTTGACAACATCATTTTTTTTTTTTAAAGTGAAGAAGCTAGCGGTGTAGTGATCGAAATGTGACTGTGAGTGTATCATGTGCGAGGCTTCTTTCTTAATATTGTGCAAAAAACAGCAGAACGAAAAACTGTGAGAAGGAGTGAAATTAGTGCTTCTTTGTGATGAAGTCAAGATTAAATAGAAGTCATAATGAAGAATTTCTAACAGTTGCAAGATTGACACCAGTGTCTGTGATTACACTCTAACTACAGTAAAACTCACATACAGTATTTATGCTGAGAATTAATTCCATTATGCTTGTGCAATGACACCAACATCAGCCTACCAGAGCAAACTAAGTGAGCCATTTTCTTAAAAAAAAGAAAGAAAAAAAAAGGCACAAAGGCGCTAGCTTCAAAGTAGCTACAAGGCTCTCAGGTCCACCAAGATTACATGTTAAGCTATGCTGCTACGTCTAGACCCACAGATACAGAAGAGAGCCAAAGGAACAGAAAGATCACCGTGTTATTTACACACCAAATCATCTAAAAAAAAAAAAAAAAAAACAACCTGGTAGGAGGAAGTGTGAGTGAATGCTCCAAGGCGTTTTAATGTTAAAACAATTAAAGTAGCTGCAGGCTAATTTCACAGCTAACTCCTCTACATAAACAGCTGATAATAGCTGGTAATTAAAAGTAGGTCAATACAATTAAACAGCTACAGACTTTGGTAGGCAGAGGAGACTTTTCACATACCATAGACCATCTGCTTTGTATATAGACACTTATATTCAGTGTCCTGCTCTTGTGAGTGCAGATTGTACCTCATACATGCCAACTCTAGACCCTCATTTCACATTTAGGACCAAAGACCCTGATCACACCTGCCTCACCTGACCTTAGAGACACAGTTTGGATTGTACTCCATCACCGTGTCAATAAAACCAGCTCTTCTGAGAACATGCCTCGGATTAAATCGATGCAAGTCTTTGTACTCCGTCCCTCCTCAGAAGGTCAGCCTCTTAGCCGTGATGAACTCCTCCAGCTGTACCTTGCCGCTGCCCATGAGTGCGAAAGCTGGATACATTGTTCCCGAGCACTCCACCTGCCTCTCGTAAAGGCACCTCATGGTGTCGGCGTCGTAAAAATACACGCGGCATGCGTCGTAATCTAGGCATACGCCCAAGCGCTGTGGCATGGGGAGCACACGGTTGCCAGGGTCGCTGGAAGCCGCGCTTGCCGAGGAGGACGAGGACGCCTTTGGGATGAAGAGTTTGCCCATGCCCACGGTGAGGAGGGTGAAGGGCTGGGAGAGCTCGTAACACGCGTCCTCGCTGCCGCTGTCATGCCCGCTGTCATGGTCATACCTGGGGGACGGAAAATAAGAGGGGGTTTGAAAGATTCTTAAATATGCAGCTAGTGTTTTGAAAAACAAAGACTTAAAGTTATGGCCAAAAGGGTTAAGGCTAAAACTAAAATGACTTCATTCTCTGTCATTTGCAGAATACTGAATCTAGAAATCATTGGCTTTATAAATGTTTAAAAATAGATGAAAGGGCAAATCACACAGTGACTGCAAATGCCTGGTTGAATCGGATCAACACACCAGAGCAATCAAAAGAAGTCAAAATATGACAGATATTAAAAAAACATGCTTGATTTAATCAATTTATCCTTGTTCATTTTCTGAAAAATCAAACTTGTAAGAATTTAAAGAGGGATGCTATCTTCTCATGAGTATATATTTGCTCAAATATAAAAAAACTGGGTCATGTTCAGCTGGTGTAAAAGAGCCAAAGCTCAAATATTTCAGTGTTACTCATAGAAACTGCCTTAATGACTGACTTTTGGTAAGAAAAGTAAAAAAAAAAAAAAAAAAAAAAATTCCTGATCTTTTATTGACAGAGATAAAAAGGTATTTTATGGGGCTGTCATGAAAGATGGATTATTTTGTCTAAAGTAACAATTGTAAAAAAAAAATAATAATTCTGAGACCAGAGCATATATCGGAGTTATTTACTGTGGCAACATTGAAAGAGGAAAAGCCTCACATTGATGACATTTGATTATTCTGTTTCTTTTCAAAGGCATAAACAATACAAACAACACCTTCAGCTGCGTGCTGTGTTTGTTAATTACCTCGCATACATGATCTAATCATCGTAGCATTAAGATTTGTGTGTTTAAATAACGTCTTCCTTTACATGCTTCTTCTACATGAGCTGATCCGGGGAGAACGGCGGGCTTTGTCTGAATAAGCTCTTTACGAGTTTAGATTGTTAGATTGTTGTTTCTGTCAGCGTGTTGCAGTTAAAAAGGTAAAGATGAACACGGTTTGTTGAATTTAGTCCATCACATGGAAGTGGACAGATTTTAGCAGAGAGCCTTAGAGAGTGTGTTGATATGTCAGACATGTGGCTGCACTCACCTTGGGCTGCTGGTATCTCTGGGGTTGTGAAACCATTCAATCAGCTTTGAATCAGAGGCCACCCCGACTTTCACCATGTAGGAGTACGGCTCCACCCTGAAGGCCCAGTAGTGTCTGCAAAACAACCAGAGCAAGGACTGCAGATAATCATGCCTCAAACATTAGGGTTGTCATGACACCAGTATTCAGTACTAGTAAAAGTCACATATTGATACCACAACATGCTACAATTACATCCCCAAGAAATTGCAAGCAATGTCTGCAATTGCACAAATACTTAGGCAACGTATAGGTCCAGAAATGTTGACAATGTATTTGTGCAATTTAGACTTTCACCCCCTCTGCTCTTTATCTGCAAGAGAAACACGAGTACTTTTTAGTCTTTATGAGACAACAAAAAAACTTGAGAACTATCAGTATCTATCTGCCTATCTTCAATGTTGAATGGATCCATCACTGCTCTCTGAAATTCTTGTGCAGCAGCTTTAGGTTAAAAATGTGACTGAAGATATGTCGTTTGTTTAAAAGCTTGGGTACTTTTCGATGGAAACCTAAAATATAAATGAAATTGCATGGTTTTAAAAAGAGATTGTCAAAATGTTACTTACTCAAACTTGGTCATAATACTAATCAGACAGTAGTGACTTATCCCTCTCTGAGTGTCGAGTTATAAAGATGGTGAGAGATTGTTATCATCCCTTCACCTTATTTCTTCGCTCAAAAAAGGAGTTCCATTTCTGCTCCCTGTCATAAATATTTTATATCCAGTCTGGAGGAGATATTGAAAGTCTGATGAGCAGGAAACCAGCCCCACTGTCTCGGTTTCATCTTTTTCCATCAGATTTAACGCTTTAATGGCTGACGTTGTATGCCGCTCATTCCTTTAGAAGCGACTGGACAAAATAACCCTTTTCAAACAAAGTCCAAGCCTTCTCAGTTACTTGCTTACCTTCCCTGAGTGATGCCCGTGTCCCCGATTATGTAGTCCAGTCCGATGTAGCTGCCTGTCTGCACACGATCCGCAGCGAGGAGGAAGGCCATGCCTGCCACGTTCTCTACAGTGTCCCGGCTCTTGTTCAGGATGAGGCGCTCCGTACTGAAGCCACACTTGTCGCTGAACAGGACGCCAAAAGCTGCATGTGAAGAGGGAGAGGACAAATGGACAAATAAGAAAACACAAATTTACAGAAAAGATGGACAAAACAAAGAAAAGAGCAGGTTAAGGTCAAAGGAAAACAGGGCTCCTTAGTGCATTCTACATATCAGTAAACAAACTTGAATGTGTAGTTGACAAGAGTTGACACAAGGGGGCGCTACAGCACCATCTTAAAGAGCTACTAAAAGGCCTACTTGCTGTGCTCACTACACCGTGATGAAGAACAGGCCTATGACACTCTTCATTTCTCATGTGCAGCTGTCATTTCTTTTTGCCTCATCTGGATGCAATTAACCACATTCTAAGAATAGTTCATGGGCCAAAGGTCCCGATGAACATAATCCAGGAGACATATAGGCTGACATGATTATGCTTGTTCACTCAGCCATCCCATGCCAACGGAGATGCACACTGGGGAAGACCGGTTCATTTGCATGTGTCTAGGCAAGCCCTGGCATTAACTAGGACATGATAATAATAGTAAAAGCTAAGACCAGACAACAATGCTGCAGCTTTATGTGTTGTTCTGCAGTTTAGATGGACTCATACTGACAGGTATCACAGCAGGCTAAACTGGTCCGATTTCTTTTTGTGTGTGTGCAACAGAAAACTTTCTCTGATTAAGGAAACAGGACCAAGAAGACATTGGAAACAAACAGCCCAAAGTCTAAGCTTTGTCTCCTTTTTAGATTATCCATGTCATCAGAACATTTGACAGTACACTGCTCTGATCATTCATTTAATAAATAATAAAAGAAAATGGGGTCGCACATAATTGATTCCGCATGAAATTAGTCCCTAAGCAACTATATTTTAATTTCACATTCAATTAACAAGTAGACGGATATATAGAGCATCACTGTAGGTTTTACTAAAGCAAGTTAACGGTCCATAACAGTGACTGAAATTCAAAGGTTCAGAAACCCTGGGATGAAAAATAAGAGGGATTCAAAACAGGAATGACAAACAGTGTTTTGACACGTTGAAATGTCCTATGAGGTTAGGTCTTAGATGAGTAGCAGAGTGTGTGTGTGTGTGTGTGTGTGTGTGTTTTAACCTCAGTGTTTCCCCTCCAGCCTAAAATTGATCATCATTACTCACACAGTGAATCCATCCACTCATTCCTCCACGAATCAGAGCGCACAGGAATGTGGAAGCTCCAATCACAACACAAATGAGGTGGCTTGTGTGTCACAAAAAAATAAATCAAATCAGAGCACATCGTATCCGATTATAGGACGTGCCGTTTCATGTATGCACTACAACTCCGGGAATGAACGAAATGTGTCAAATTTAAGCAACAAAAAAAAAACTAGTCCAGACTATGAAGACTATATTCCCTTATTGTAACCTGCTCTAGAATAAAAAAAAAAAAAAAAAAAAGAGGCTGTGGTGATTGCCAACTAGAACAGAAATCAAAGAGACACAGTCCCTCACTGGGAGGACACTATTTGGATTCATGTTCAGCAGATGGTTGGGAATGATGATGGTTTTTAATGAATTCCACCTTGGCTCTGTCAGGCGAGTTTAAAAATGCCAGCAACAGATGCACCTGCAGGTTCCCTTTCCAAGCTGTGGCACTGTTCGGCACTCTCTACTCCCACACACACACTCACACAAAGGCTATATTGGTTTAAGCCATCTGACACACATAAGCTATTACCATGGTGATGAACAAAAACAACATTGTTCTTCCAATACCTTAAAATCGAGCATATTCAACAAAAGCATCTGTTATCTGATAATCGTTCTTTAAACAAACATTGAGTCAGGACACTCGGACGTGCTCTGAGAAGTAAAAGGGATAGAAGAGCTTAGCTGTTGCCTCGGCCAAAAAGAGGCCCAAGGACAGGGGCCGATTCTCTGAAAGTAGCTTAATCCTGTACAAAACAGTAAATAAGTAAAGGGGGCAAAAAAAGCAGCTTGTGTTTGAATAATGAGCTCAAGAAAAAAATACATTTCAAGTTGGGCGTTTCTTTTTTTGATCATAAACAAATACTTTTTAGGATTCTTTAACAACATTCATCTCCTAATCCTCCTACTCCTGGTTCCTCTTTTTATTTACGTCCAGAAGTACTCACAGAACAAAAAAAAGTATTGCATGACAAGCGATTCATTTGTTTTTTTTTGTACGGAAAAACCTCCGACACCTCTCTGATGCTTACCGGGTGCAGGAGGAGTGTGGAAGGAGACCTCAGGGCTGTAGGGGCTGAACATGGAGTTCCTGCAGCTTCGTACTCTGAAGGCGTACAGACTGTTAGGCTCCAGGTCACACACCACGGTGCTGGATCCATACACCTTGTCTGTGGTCCTCCAGGCACCGCTGTCCTCGCCATCCTCCTGTGACGGGGACTGGTTTGGACCCCCGAGTCTGGAGGAAAAGATGTTTATAGTCAAGAAATCTGGATTGCCCACACCCCATATACTTACTGCTTGTCTGAATCGACATTTTTCTTTCAGTCTTAACCTTATTGAAATCCTGCACCTACCTGCGGTACTCCACCATATGGTGATCTGTCGGGATGTGGTCGTCAGACAGCCTCCAGCAGATTGAGGCCTCATTGTAGACTTTGCTAGTGGACAGGTCAATCAGAGGAGGATCTGGAACTGCAGAGAGTAGGAAGAAGATTATGAAGGAAAGAAACCAGTTAGTAAACCAGAGTCTATGAAATAAGTGATTATCCAATAAAATATGACTTAAAGAGCACGTTAACCTTAGTGCTTCTTTATCTGGGTGTGACAGGAGGAGTTCTACATATATTGTCTCTGACGTGAGATTTAAAGCCGTCAAAAAAAATACCAACATGCTTTATTTGTCTACATTTTAAACAAGGGCTGGACGATTAATCACACGCTTTTATTGTTATCGCAATATGAGCATCCCCTAAAAAGAAATGTGACTTTATTGCACAGCGTGTTTACATTTGACCCATTAGGTGGAGGCCTGAGTATCATGGACATGCTTTCACACCAGGAAAAATGAAGCTTAACTTGCCATCAGCTGTCCTCACACTAATTGGCTAAAAGTAAAAAATACTTTTAAGATTGATTTTGGAATCAGGAGAAAAATGCTGCAAACACAGGTGTTGTGTAAAACAAAGAAAATCATATGGAGATAAAAACAGTGAGCTATAGCTATGCATTCTTATTATATTTTTTTTGCATAATTGTTATTGCAATATTGAACACTTTTATTGCTCATCACATATTTGTATCATATCCCACAGGCCATGTTTTAAACCTATTGCACCTTCCAGTGGTGAAAACCTCTTTATCTGGTGATTAGCCAGATGTAACAGATCCTACCCATAAGCAGGAAAAACTTTAAGTCCAACACAAGGAAATCTCTCTTGCTACTTAATCATGTTTAGTAACGTCATGCTGCTCGACAACTCTGGTTTAAGCAAATGCAGCGGGGTTAGTGTGGCAAAGATTAGATTTGTCAGGATCAGGACTGTCCCCTCAGGACAATAGACAAGACTGTCTTGCATAATGGAGCCTGTTAAGAGGTTTTCACATGAACTCACTGCCAGGAAAAGCACTCTGTAAACTCCCCCACCGCCATCAACACCACCTCTCTTCCACTTTCCCCTTTCTCCATCTCCTTACCGTGAACTCTCCTGACCCTTTCACACCACTTCATATCTTCCACTCCAACTTCTTAATTATTTTTTATTGTAAGTTGAAATGTCCTGTAACGCATCAACCTGTCTCTCTTTGCCTTTACATTTATCAACCCTGAGATGGCACCACTTCCAGTCTGTACTCTGATTTAGTAACAGCAGTCTTTTTGTTTATCCATTATCCTTCTCTCGGCATAAAGCTCATTTTGCTCCAGAAACAGAATCATCTGACCATTACCATGTAGGTCAGCGTCTTTTCTCTCTCTTTACATTGATCCACTCTTCCTGTGACATTTCTCCTTGTCTCCTTAATTTAATTTTCTCCTCTCATTCTCTGACCTTCCTTTTTTCCCCCTCTCTTCAACGTTTGCCATTCCCAGTTCCTATAACTGGGTTTGCCTTTCCCCTAAAGACAGATTTCCAGCTGGCCGACCGGTGTCGCCACAGTTGCAGAGCTTTGAGCCTCCAAAGTCACTTGGCTAATCCTCAGTCTCCAAAGTCGTTTTCTTTTTTGCCAGGCACATGAGCTCCTTCACGAGCTCTTGTCCTCTTTTTGCCCCATGCACACTCAAATTTAATAACATTTACACACTTTATGACCAAAAACATAATGTTTTTATTTGATTAACTCGTGCGGAATAAAAAACACAACCAGTCTTTCTGCCATTTGTATGCTTGAATTTTACTTTCATGGCACTTTATAGGAGAGTTAATTGAAAAAAAAATTGTCAACCCCTGACCTCTTAGTTTTCTGTCTATTTCCCAGATTGCGATGTGATCCTTATGAATAAGCTGTCATTCCAAAAACGTCAAACCCAGGTCATTGTTTCCTCTTTAACAACACCCATCTCTTCCTCGTGTTGGATGGGTGGCACTCCGGTGTAAATCACATGAAGGCATTGTTTGAGACACTAACGAGCCGCTACACTAACCAATAGGATTTTGTTTTCAACCTGATTCCAACAGATGGACCAACAGGGAAAAAAACAAACCAGGCACGGAGCCATCCATCCCAGCAGGCAGCAGTCACCCGAGTCCAGCGACTCCGAAAAAAAGCACTATTGATCCCATACAGTAAAGGCTGCAGCCAGACAGACAGTAGCGATGCCAAGCTGCTCTGCAGGGAACTGCTTTGTCTATTTCAATTTCACCGCTCCCTCATATAGTCCTCTTACAGAAATGTGAGAAGACCGGTCGACTTCAAATCTTCCCAAAAGCTACTTAGCCTGTGCTGTAATATCTTTAAGAGGATGTTAAGAGAGACGTGTTCTCAGCCTGACATTTTTAGGACACTTCATTTTGAAGATGACCACAAATAGGCATTTAGAAAGGCAATAACCAGAAATTAAAATAATGTCCAAAAGTCTGTGACTGGAGAGAAATTGTTAAGGAAATCTTTAAATGTGGAACAATAGACCTTCTCTCCCAGACCTGAGTTGATATCTTTATTATGCTAAATATTAAATGGCCTTGAGCTTGTATAGCACTTTGAGTCTTCAGACTACTTTTACACCGCAGGCCACACCTACACGTTCACACCTTGATGGCAGAGGCTGCTGTGTAAAGTGTCCATCAGTATTAACCAACCCCATTCATACACATTCACACGCCGCAAACATAGCAGAGCTCCCCCTCAGCTCTCGACAGCGTCGGTTTAAAAATATGACAGAAGAATGTTTTAATACTATCGATCATGAAAATAACAGAGACAGTATCTTTTTAAAGTATTTGGACAGCCTTACATTGGAGAGCACAAGCCTGCCTTTATCAAGCGGGGGGAAATAATGAACAGCTGTCTAAATGTAACAGCCCAAGTCAATGAAGAAGATCGAGCATCACATAAGATGACTACATTGTAGTCAAGACTTGAATAAAAATAATAAATTCAGCCTGCAGGTCCTAAACTCCATTGTGAATGTGTTTCAGTGTCCTGTATGATTGATGTATACCACAAGAGCTTAAGGGGCGACATGCTGAGACACTACAGTGGTTCCTCAATGCTGCATCGTCAGCCAAGATTTAAATTAAATTACTGCGTCGTAGAAATGCCTTCTGTGAACTCAGACTAAGAGCTTCATCAACCCCCACTGGTCACACATCAATATAACTGCCTCCTTAGCACTACATGCTGCACTTTCCAAAAAGGAAACAGGAGTTATCATGTAGGGTACATTTGATTGGAGAAGCCCACATCCTCTCATGAGAGGGTTATAGAGCAGTCTGAACATTCATCATCTCACTTCTTTTATTGATTTGTGTTTACTAGAAATAAAATTGCAGATTAAACACTTAAATAAAAATCATCCAGTGCAGTGTTTTAAAGAAGAATTGCGTGGCTGTCTTTGCAAAGTTTATGTTCCACTTGCAAACTCCCTCATTTTCCCCCCCCTTTTAATTATTATTCTATCTTTCTTGTGCTTTATGTATGTGATATACAGTGACTTCCCAAGAAGTTCAAACATTCAGATTTCCTTCAGTAAAAAAAAAAACTATTCAAACAAATTATTCCTCAAGTTTCTACTTGCAGCGTAAATCATGCATATTATTTCTCGGTAAATATCCAATGCTCTTGAACAAACATATTTGTAACATATTTCATTTGTCAAGTCATGAGCTCAACTCTAATTATCTTTATGGTTATCCAACTGTTTCCACACTTAATGAGTCATAGGGTCAGTCAATCATACATTTGGATGCAGCCAGCTGTAGCCTGAGATAAATCTCACATCACTGATTTTAAACAAACTAACAAGGCTGCTTTCCCATCTAACAACAGAAGCCCGAAGACACAGCCTCCTGTTGAACACAGCTTTGTTTGTCATCAACAGTCGCTCAGACAACTGTCAGTTGTTTTGCTGCACCAGCTTGACAGACATGTTGTTCATTGTATTTGAGTGGCAGCTGTGGTTTAAGCCAGTGCATTCAAAAACAAACACCTCACATTGTACTAATACTAAACAGCTAATCATATTCTGCTTTTTTTCCCCCCTAGGACGCTCCAAACCTCGGGCATCATCAGCCTGCCGTAACTGAAAGAACAGTCACAACTCAGCGTCACTATCTGCGACTCTGTGACACACATAATGTTGACAGGTTAGACTCGAGCCTCACTAACGGCTCTTAAACGAGCCTCAGCCAGCCGCAGCCAAATGTGACGAACCATCACTCTGACGTGTTCAGTCTGTCTCGTTTCCAGTCCTATCATCACGCAGTCACAGCACGAATAACAGCAAGGTGCAACCAAAATAATCACCGCACTCTGCTGCAGTTGATGCAATGAGGTTCATTAACCGTGCACATAATAGCAGCGTGCATGCACACATTTCCAGCTACATATTATTTCAGCCATTTGGCACAGCTGCTTAATCTGATGATGAAACACAACGGTCCAGCTGCTCCATGATCCACGAAGGGTGCCACTTTGCAAGGCTCTTACTCAGCTTCTGGTCTTGAGTTTTTTATTAGACTTCTGTATTAAAATCAGCTTTGCTAATGCTAAGTAATCTGCACAGTTTTGATCTTTGCTCTTGGAAACATTCATCATTTGCTTCCATGACGGATACGATCTATGCGAGTCTCTATGTGAATGAGAATCACAAGTTCAGTGCTGTGCTTTGATTTACTAGATATCCCTGTTAACTTGTTTATTTTGCGCCTATTTTTGTGTCTCAAAACATCATGTCAGTAATAATCCTTGAGAAAAAAAAATAATTCCCCAACAAGCCTTTGCAATTCAGCAGACCAGAAAAAAAGCTTAGCAAAGCAGCAAAAACCCCTTTGGGCATTTCCAGGATTGTTTATCCAACTTGGGAGTCCGACAGATGACCTCTGACCTCTTAGCACAGCACAGTTCACACGGCTGTGCATGTGATGGACAGGTGAGAACAAACTGTTGATTCTAAACCGTAATGGATTGCGTTTCAGTAAGCTTGTATATGTTTGGTGTAATTTTGACTACGTTCTCTGTCATGAAGCTTTTCTGTCATCTAGAGCAATGATTCACAAACTTTCTGGAGTTGCCAAAGTAATAAAAACTGATTGTGCAAAATCATTTGTTTTTAATGGAAACAACTGTCTCCAACATATCAAGTTTATCAAGTGCTCGCTTTGCCACCTGTTAAAAAGGACTGACATAATCAGGTACGAATGGATTTGATAAGCAGCTGAAATAGTTACCTAAAATATGACGTAATCTTTAAAAATTATTTGCCAAAAGTAATTATTTACGATTCAACTAAGAAGCTAAAGTAGACGAATGACTTAACAGTTTAAACGATTAGCTGCACGTAATAAGCTCAAATTGCTGAACTTGTTAGCTTTAATATTAGCTGTAACGAAAAGGCTGAAAATGTTTGGCAAACATGAAACAGTGGCAAAAGAAATAGATTTAATAGTTAGCTTACCATTTTAGCCTTTAAGCTATTGTTTTAAGCTAACAGTCGACAGTTGAAATAGTTAGCCTAGAAGTAGCTGAAATCATTAGCTTAAATATTGGCTAAAAAGGTCGAACCGGTTCAGCATAACTATTTCAGTCTTTAAACCAAACTTTAAAACAAAGATGAAACAGTAACAGGTGAAATAGAAAACCAAAAGAAATAAAAGAAATGATTAGCCTAAAGTTGTTAGCTAAAAAGCTTAAGAAGCTAACAAAGCAAACTTGTTGAAATAAAAGGCTTAAACAAATAATCTTGAATTGCTTTCATTGCTGACCTAAACCCTAAATAATTGTGTAGCAACATACAGTATAAAACATGATATTTAAAAACAGTACCCTTTTTCTGATTTAAATCGATTTTCATTTGAGTGATCGGATATCCATTCATAAAATCCACAGATGGATTTTTTAATAAGCTATATTCCCTTCCCCATCCATCCATTCAAATCAGTTCTGAATGCGTATTTCCATGCTGTGAGCAGGCTGTGACGTCTGTTTCAGGCTGCACTGGCTCCTCAGATATCGAATCGGGATCTTGTAAATCAGAATCAAATCAGGCAATGGGTGGTGATACCCAGCCCCATTTAAATCAAATTCACACTTGTGAAAATGATTCATGACTGATGATTCTCATTTCTATTTTTATTCAAATTGAGAAAGAAAAAAAATGTCTTAAGTTTTTCTTTTTTTACTGTCACATAAACTAATAGAGCCGTATTCATAATATACAGTAAAACAGGTCGTACCTCCACCAAAGCACATCTCTTTGATCAGATTTTCCTCTCTGGATGTGTCGAGCACAAACTCATCAAAGCAGGGATCAGCTGAAGGGTGGAAAGTCCTCAGAGACTCTGTGGCCCTCTGGATCCTGAAAAAACATAACACACAAACACAACATGATACAATCTTCAGCAATAAATCATTTCTCCAAGTTCACCAGATAAAGCACCATTGGTGGCCTTTTCCCCCTTTATTATATCTGGTATGTTTAACTACATTAAAAATGTTACCAGCCCTGATGAATTAACCTTAACTATTAAAAAAGGAGATAAAAATCATGTTTGGGTCGACAGAGTGTAACAGTCCAAAGTATCATGCTTCAGAGAGTGAAAGGTTTAGTGATAATCCAAAGCTTTTAATGAAGATCAATTAGAAAGCTTAGAGCAGAAGACACTTTAAGATGCTCCACAGAGTTTACTGAACACTTCCCTTAATCGCTCTTGAGATTAGTCATCCCTGCACGTGGCTTTATGGGTTCCTGACAAACTCCAGTCACCCAAACATATAATCAGATTGATTGGACAAAAATAAAACAGAACAGATCCCGTTTATGAAATCCACTGGGAAACGAGATGACATCACTGACCCTTCCCTTTGCATAGGGAAAACAAAATGAGTCAGAGCAGACTTTAATCTGTGATGTTAAATAGCTTCTGTTTTTTTTTTATATGAATACAATAGATCTAGTGACCATTAACAAGCTGCTTATTTATTCATTTGAAAGTTTACTGCAGTTCACAGTCAAGATTTAGTGGTGAAATGTGTGAATAATGATTCCTTTCAGGCCTGGTTTAAACTTCTTTAAGATGACGGAGGGCAACTTCAACATCAGAGAGACGCTTAAGAGTGCTGTTTGGCCATTCTTATAAATGACTGCATTTCAAATTGCCACTGAGAAGTAGAGACTTACTAACTGAATTTATGTTTTAAGGTTTGGTGAGGGCCGTGGTTTAATTAAGTTTGGCGAGCGTCAATCAATCATTATTTGTATAGCACAAATTCATAACTAGTGGTATCTCGAGACGCTTTACAAAAAGATGGAGATGGCTGGGCGTCAGGCGCAGAACCCTCATGTACTAAGGTTACAGTCCTCATCACATCTGTCGCAAGTTTGACTTCTGATTCTGACATAGTTTGATACAGGTCCCCCAATCTCTCTCCCCATATTTCCAGTATCTTTATATTTGTTCTCTCCAATAAAGATCAAAATGCCTGAAAAACTATCTTATGGACAATAAAGTATTTTGGCTTCACTTTCGTACAATAGGAGGGGCTGGAGACACATTCTCCATCTTTATATACAAATCAGCGGTTCCAGTCGAGTAAGGTGAAAAATAAATACCTGTAACTGCTGTGTGTTCTCATAACCATACCTTAACATTTTCTGTTAAAAATCCTCTAAATAACTCTTCATCGGCACAACAGTGTTACTTTTTATTGAAGTGAAATGGTAATAACACCAGTTTTACCTGGTGTGTAGCTGCTTTGCGGTCTGTACAAAACAGGACTGATCCGTCTCTTTCAGCACCTCCTGAGCGTAGCCCACGAGACCGCTGTTCTCCAGCATGCCCTGGTACTCCTCCACCTGTGACATCATTTCATAAAGGCATGATTATTCAGCATTTTGTATTTCTGATCATATAAGTGGCTTTTTATTAAACTGATAATTTGTAAACTATTTTTTTTAATGGGCATACCCTCTTACAAACACTTATCAGACAGAATGAGGCATGATTTATTTTTCTACAGGTAAGAATAAGATGAGTGTATGATGCATGCATGCGTGTAATGGACACTGAACAGGAATGGGACTCATACCTGCCCCTTGAGTTGTTCAAGGCGTCTGTTTCGGGATTGTTCGATGGATCGCAACATCTCAGATTTCCTCTCCTGCAGGGTCTCAAACAGTCGCTCAAAGTGTTCATTGGCTTGTCGCTCTGCTAGCTGGCCATTTTCCTTCACATTAAAAAAAGATAATAATGTCATGATTTCAGAAAATTTGAACAAAATCAGCCACAGAACATCATAATAATAATAATAACTTTTATTCATATAGCACCTTTCAAGAGCAGAGTCACAAAGTGCTTTACAAAAGGAGGAGAAACAAACAGAGAAAGCAAAGAACAGAAACCTCAAAAGACGGATTAATCAAAAGCAAGTCGAAACAAATGTGTCTTAAGTTGCTGTTGTCATCTGTTGTGGACAAACTTTGGTTTAACAAAAAGGCAGATACAAACTGTCACTGTATTTTCTTATACATTCAAAGAAGGAGCTCAACAGTTCACATCACACGACTTAAGAATACGAAGAGAAAGATAAATGGACCCAAGAAAAGTGTTTTAAACCAGAAAGCACCACAAACAAAATCAGTCACACACACTCGTTTAACAGAGGACCTAAAGTGTGGGTGGAATAACGTCACAGTGAAAGAGGAACAAACTCAGGGACTGAAACAAGGACGTAAGCATGAGGGAAACCTGCACGCAAATTCTGTGTTTCCTTGTTTGTGTGGTTTGCATACTGTTTGTTCAGGGACCTTCCTTATTCGCACACAGACAATGTGTAATTATTTCTCTTCTTCACTGACTGGTTCTGTGCTAACTGTATACGTATTCGTCCTCTAAAAGGAAATATGTTTGTCGAGGTATTCTGCGTTCTCAAATTAACATATCGCTTTCAAGGCAAGCCCTATCAGAGGTTTGGTTTTACCATGTTGGCATAAAGCTCAGTTCAGATTTGTTCCATGTCAAGAGAGATCAATTTTGGGCCTGTAAGTTTTTCATATAAACGATAAGATTAATTTTTAGACATGGAAGAGCAGGAAGTTAAAGACAGGGAATTACGTCTTAAATTAGGAAAATAAACAAATTTACTGCTTACAAAATGCGATACTAAACCTTTTCGTAAATAAACAGAACATAAAACATTGAAAAGACGAAAAATCAAACGTTACAAGTTTCAATCAAAGGGAAAGTGTGCAGAGCATGCTGTAAACGTTAAGAGTAGAGTGGAAAACAGATTCTGAAGTCGCTGCAGGGTGAGTCAGCTCTCTCTCACCTCGGTCTGATTGATGAGCAGATCAAGCTCAGTAATCTGAGTCCTGACCTGGTCCTCTTTGCTGATAAGGTAATGGATACTCTTGGCCAGCTTCTCCTGATGAGAGAAAAGACCAGCAGCCATTACACACGGTTTCATACATTTTTTGAAAGACTGGGTCAGGTCCATACACGGACACAGAACTGGGTAGACAAATAAAATGACTGTTACTGCTGAGCTTAAAACCATGTAATCATGAAACAGAAAACGGCTCTGTGCTGGGAGATTCACTTTGCTCCAAGAAAAGTACAACAACACATCCAGGCAGAAGTGCTGAACTTGGTGCTTTGCATGCATGGATTTACTATTAAGACGTGGACACGGTGCTTGTGCTATGTGACAACCTCCGGTGCTGAATAAAGAAGCTGATGAGGAAGTGTAGAAAAACTACAGTATCTCATGTGTCCACTTGAGGCTGGCTGCAAAACGAAAGTATCCCAACCTGGTCCTTTCTAAAAAGCCCATTTTTTTTTATAGCAGGAACAAACTTGTTCGCGTGGTACAAAATACATGATTTGGCTTTATAGCTCATTTCTTTTTTCCCCACACGCTCCACAGGGTGTTTATTCCACAACTCATGTGTTTTTATTATATTGAAGCTTTAATATAAATTAATGAAAATTAATTTGGCAATAATATGCATAATTAGGGGTGTGGTTGAGTTAACTGACAGGTGAATGCATTTTTTTTTGTTGCCAGGAGTCTGAAGGCAATCCTCAGCTCCACCTCTTTGCTCTCTTTGTCTGAAGATTGACCGAAAGTAAGGTAGAGTCAGCCGTTACCAATATGGCAACGGCCCTCGTTGGGCTTCAAAACATCTCTTCAGAAACCAATGTGATTAGACCACGTCCATGTTTTATACATATACTTCACTTATGATGTTTTCATTAAGACCTGATACTGTTCAACCACTCATCTCTTGTTATGCTGGTCATAAAGGGAAAATGTTTTTTCTTTGGCCTCAGTCGAGTTTATCACTGATATACCTCAAGTCACCAATCGGCTAAACTGGAAAATCTGTCTTTAAAACTGTTTAACGGGTTAACATTCCCCAGCAGCATTTCTTTTAAGCAACTTTTTAAAAACCTTCAATTTCATCACAATGTAAAGTCTTTGCTCAGAATTTCCTTTGGCATACACTGCAGGAAGTTGTTGTTATTGGACCACTTATATATATCCACCTGGCACTGCCCTGGAAGATCAGTCATTAAACTTTGACCTTGCTTGCCACTGACCTCTGAAAGTGCAGAGCCATGACTCAGGCAGACATGAGTGACACATATGAGCAGGGGAGATTTAAGAAGTCGTACTCTGTGCTTCACAAAACATGAAATATGTGAACAATACGGTTGTGATTGTAATTTGTCTGAAAATTTGAAGAACAGGATTTATTCCTTGGCCTCTGCATGTGTCATTTTGCTCTGTGCTCTACCTCCTGGTGGGCGCATGTTTTATCATGTGAAACCAGCTTAACACTAGAAAAGTAAAAAAAGATTAAAACGTGCACTATTTCAAGGAATACAGTGGGATTTGGTGCTCAAAGCAGCAGCTGGTACATAGTTCACAAAAAAATGGTAACATTTGGCTGCTCTGACAGGACAAGGCTCCTTCCCTAACATCACCTCCTGTGTGCCTCCATGTTGGCTCAACAAAATGCTTTCTATTACTAAGACAAAACAGACTCACTTAAGCAGCTGAAAAAACAGAGGTTTCCTAAAGTTGAGGAAGCCGTTTCGGACATTGCTTGAAAAGATTTCATTGTATAACTCAAGATCTCTGCTGCTATGCTGTGTCTTCATGCTGTGCAAGATATACTGACTGATATCTGGAAGATCCCAATCAACGTGTATGACTCTAAATGCAATGCCATGGGTTTTTTTTCCACTGGGTGCAGCATGTCAAAACAACATTCACTTCAGTACAGTGATATGATCGAGCATTTATGTCCAAATCAACTGAAACCTAACTCGCTTCCTGCCTGACAAAGGGTCCAGGGACTGTTCAGGACATTTGATACGTCTTCAACAATGTGAAGATACAATACACACAAAATCACGTGGAACAAAGTGTCTCATTAAATATTGAAGAGCAGCGCAGTGTTTTTGTCAACACAAACCAGCAGATTGAATTTCTCCGATTCGACCATGACTTGCTAAAAGCTGCAAGCATCAAATCTAAACAAACTGTGGTTCCCATGCTAACAAGATCAATATACTTTTCTCTTAAGTTTTATTTTATCTGTACTGTAAAAGATTGTTTTGTATCGCTTCGCATAGCAAACAAGCAGTCCTTAAACAGATCTGAAGATATTTCTCCACAGCTGAGAAACCAAACAATCAAACCGACAGAAATGAATCTACTGAGTGGAATAAAATCTGATGACTACAAGCAGGACTAATTAGGCTTGAGGGTTTGGCAGGTGAGGGATTAAGTTTCCAAACAAAGAGGGATTGATATCTGCAGTCTAATGCAGGCCAGCACAGGTAGACATCAGGCATCAATATTACAGCAGGAGATGAGCAATTCAGGGACCAGTCAATGGGAGGTACGGCGCAACACAAATAAAGTAAGACCCAACTCTTCTCCCACTGAAGTAACTAGTTATCAAAATGATTGAACCCTGTTGAATCAAACTAGCCTTTTACATTTTGTAACATCAGGCACAACAGAGTCAATTTCATATAAAAGTAAGCTACAGATATATTCATTATTTGTCCTAAAGCAGTGATTCCATAGACTATATAACACAGGGACGTAGTTTCAATGATGTCACACTCCGGTTTCTGAAGAGGCATTTTGAAGTGGTTGCCAAATTGGATTGCTTACTCTAACTTACTTTAAAATTAATATTATAAACAGCACATGAGATGGAGCTGGGGTGGGCCTTAAGCCTCCTAGGAAAAAATTGACAACTCACCTACCTGTGAGTCAGTGCAGACACGCCCCTTATTTTGCAAATGTGTGCATTTCTTAAACATGGGACTTAAGTTTCTTTGATTTAAGCAGCAAGCCTCAAGTGAACTCAAGGAACTGCAGTTTTTTTACACTTCTGTATTTGCTTATTTTTCAACACCACAGGTTAAAGATTGATTCTTTTTTTAAGCCTTGAACACACCGCTACTGTTGAACAAGCTCAGTCTAATCTTTGTCATCATAAGTCAGTGTTGTTTTGCACTACACAGAGCCACCAACAGAAAAGCAGCCAAGCCATCTTCATCCAACGTTTCATAGTGTGTGAATGTGTTACCTTCAGGATCTTGTAGGCACTGCTCATGGATGTGACTTTGTGGTTGGCGTGGGATCCTCCCAGCTTGCACAAGTGACACACTGGTCGTTTGCAGACCTCACAGTACATGTTCACCTTCTCCATCTCGTGCTCCGGGCACATGAGCACCTGAAATATTTGACAGAACAGGAAGTTAATCCAGAGACAAAACAAAACACATCTTACTGTTTTATAATGCAACTAGAACTTCTGTGATCAAAAGGGGACATTAAGTGAAACAGGAAGATGACCCAAGCTTTAAAAAAAAATATTCTAGACAGCTCTGTGAGCCATTTCCTGGAGATTCTAAAAATAGAATTTAAATTCAGCACTTTTTTAGTCCCAGGATCCTCATTTGACAGCATGTTTCCATTTAATAGACAAAAAGGTATTTCCCACATAAAAAATGAAACAATAAACTGAGAAACTTTACAGGAAGACTTAGACCTTCACAGAAAAAGAGAAAGAGAAAAGAGCCATATAAGATTAATTAAACTCGCCATATATTATGACTAGATTGTCTAAAAGTGTGAATATTTCTATTGTAAGAATAATGATTTTAACACTTTCTGATCAGCAATGTTTCACCAGAAACAACACAGATTTACATTTCTATAATTCACAAACATCTGATGCCTTAAAAATCCCTTTAATTATATCATTTAAAGACTAGAGCAATTCAAAAATATATGAAAGCTCATCTATATTTTGACTCGTGACAACTTATCTCTTGGGGTTCATAGTCCAACTCAATGCAAGTGTTGTTTGATGTCATTAGGGAAAAAACAAATAAACAGATCGGGCAAACCGTTCTTCAGGTTGTGATACTTGCCTTGGGCCTAAAATTGGTGGTGGGACCAACATACTCATGCTGAGCTTTTGGTGTTCCCCATGGGTGGTGCAGTTTGAAGCACTCGTTACAGTAGCTGGCCTTACAGTCCATGCAGCTCTTTGTGGCCTCCTGCTGCTGCGGAGGCTTACAGATGTTACACATGATTGCGACGGCTGCTCGGGCCGCCTGGCGGTAGCGCTCGACGATGCTCTCCAGGGTGAAGTTACGAAACAGCATGCTGATGCCGCGCTCGCCGAGGTCGATGTCGTGCTGACAGCCCGGGCATGGAATGGCGGTGATCCGGGGAGTCACAGAGCCTCTGCGCCACCCCGGGGACGAAATGGAGCCTGGAAGAGAGCGGCGGAGGGCAAGTGAGAAAAGATCAGGGGTAATGGAGACTCCAACCTTTAGGTCACCCAGTTTCCAGGCTTGTCTGAGGCCCTATTTTGACATTTGAACAACAATGTCCTTTGACTACAAAACTACAGTGAAGGGATAGTTTCCAATAGTCTAAAAGGGGCTTTGAAAATGTGAACCCCCATTTGTGTTCAACAGATTCTGGGCTGAGTTTCACAAAAGCAGCATTACATCATCAGCGTGACTTGCCAAGTATGATCTTAAGGCAAAAATGCGTTTGATAACACACATGGAAATATCAAGCTGTAACAAATAGGGCCTCAGTATGTCTCCCTTTGTGCTTTATTTCCACAATGACCAATACTCCATGAAGACATGGACGTATGGAGCACAACAGTAGAACAGGCAGTTCATTGAGCAGTTGTCATACAGGGAAATAAGTCCAAGAAGAGAGACTTTACAAGCCTACTGGGGTAGATTCAGGAGTGATGAGATGCAGCATAGTCAGGGGAGAAAGGCATCCTTGGAGCTTATAGAGAATAAATACAATGTATGCATTAGAAATGAATTTAATACTGCAAGTCAGTCATTTACCAACGACTATTAGGAGTGCTCACACTGATCTGGACAAAAGAAAATAATTATATTTTCCTTTAATGAGTGATCAAGAAAATAAAAATATGACTTACCAGAGCATTTGGAAAACATGCAATGTAACTGAAAAACATCGAGTTGAAACTTAAAACAGCCTGCATTTAAACCTACTATTAAATGTCCAGTTCAATGCATCAACACTCATTTTCAAAACAACAAACTCCTCTTAAAGCAGCACTGCCTTTAAGAGTTTCTCGTATTGTTGTGCTTGTTACTGATGCAGCAGCATCGGAAACAAAGCAGCAACACAGTAACATGAGGTACTCACACAAGGTCACATCACAGACGCAAGCCAAACACTGATGCTACACACACTCAAATAAAGCCAGCAAACTGAGGTCAATACAAGGCAAAGTAAATGACCCCAAAAAAAGAATATTGCTTCACGTTTTTGGGGGACAGGGGAAGCGAGGAGTGCTGGATTTATCTCAGTTTGAAAGCCAGAATTTCCACTTCGTTTCCGAGGACCTGGAATTTAAATCAAACACTCCTCAGGTAAGCGAAAACACAGGAAAGCTTTTCAAAAACAACACTTTCACAAAAGAAAAGGTTCAGCTGAGGGAAAAGCAGCAGTGGAACAGCAAACAGATAAACTATGTGTTATGTGTGTAGCTAGCCGTGTGCAAACTTGTGAGAGATGAGAGCCAAAGTGAGGACTGTGACAGTGCAGGGACAGTTCAACACCTAAAGGCTAAAACTGTCTGTAAAGAACACAAACTGTTCTGAGATCGGTTTGCCACACTTTGATTTCCCTACCTACCTGGGTTCATGTGACAAAATTGACTTTATAACATTGACGTGGTGTGACGATATGATGACAAACTTAATCTGATGATGGAGATGAAGGTGACATGGTCTCGTTAATACGAGGCATGTCTTTGGATGAAAGGAGAAATCTGTCAGAAAGTCTTTTTATCTGAACTAATGACTGATGCAGAAGTCTTCCAACCCTGGAAATACAGTGAGTTAATGCATGTGTGCTATGACACTGCACAAAAACCGTCTGCTGGTCAAGATAGAATGTGTTTGCCACTTAAAGGCAGACAGGAGAAACCCGCAGTAAAGGGTGTGTTGATTTGTGGACCTGCAGAGGGAGGCTGCAGTGTGGAGAAACTGACGAGTCATTATAGAGCAAAAGGGGCTTGGCTTTATTTCCTCCCTGCACAACTCTACACACAGAGTTCGATGCTGCAGTTTCAATATTTCTAGCAGACATTACAGAGACAAAAACAGATCTGCACATTTAGATGCTGCTTTTCTTTAAAGATAAGATTCTATTGTACCTGATGACACCATTTTTATCCAGCTGGCTACTATTTTTTTGCATCTATTCTTAGAGGGGCTTGGTGTAGACCAGGTATTTCTTGAGAGGGGGGGAATGCTTTCTTAGGAACAGTCACTGAGCATGTTGAATGACTGCATTGATTTAGCAACAAAACCAGTATTCAGTTTTGTTTTACTTGGCCTGCAATCTGACACTTCTCAATTCATCATGCCAAAAATGATTAAAGCTAGACTGAAACAGGTCCGTGCTCTCATAAACTGTTTCTTAAACACTAATGATTGTCGAGTGAAGCCTAATCAGCACAGCCTACAGGCACACAGTTATCAATCACTTAAAGCCTGTTAAGAATCTCAGCAAGCCCAAACATATTTTATGTTGTTCCTCGGTCTATGTACAGTATGTGTGTGTGTGTGTGTGTGTTTTCCTCTGTAAGAACAGAGACAGAGTTCTCCAGCTCATTTAAGAGGCTTTACTTGCCGCCACGTTTCATGAAATGAATGTAAAGCTTTGCTAGTGTACACAAACACATACATGCTTGTCCAACCTAAACTGCTAGAAAACATCAATACTTTTTTCGTCGGCTCAGCTCAAGCACTAAAAACATCTCTGTCTCCCTATGATTCTCATCTGCACCCATTTGACTCCATGGCACTCCTCCTTTTATGCTGACTCAGCATTGCTTAAAAGGTTTTCCCTTTTAGCCTTTGCTTTCTCCAATTCTCCTAACCTACTTACAAAATTAAATACCACAGGTAAAGACTGACATTGCCTTCAGCACCTTCAAATTCCTTGTTTATCTAGATTAAGACATCAGATCATCTTTAGGCTCTGTGGCCATTTTAAAAAGGGGCAAATGATTTTGATTTTTAAACTCCTACGTATTGTTTGGTTTCTAAGGAATTAATAATGTGATTTAAAACACTAAATGCAGCAACTGAACTCTCCTGAAATATATATTTTTTGTACCTAACCAGTGTTGTGAGTCAGTATGGTTATGTCGACAGGGGCTAAAGTACATCAGGTGTAGAAAGGTAGAACCAAACTAGGGTTTTACGGGGTTCTAGTAACACTGTACTCACTACTACAGCTACTCAATACACGGAGCCCGCGTCTACCTCGACTTCCACACGACCTTCGCACTGTGGCTGCAAGCATGGAACAGAGAAGTGAAGTGAGACCAACAGGAAAATGAAACAATAACGTGAAGTGAGGTTATCATTTAAAATAAAAAAGGCATCATGTCATTTGGAGAAAAGAAGCCAACATAAGAAAAGTGAAGAAAAACTGGTTATGCAGTTCAAAGTGAAATACAGCATGTTCAAAATATACAAAAGATGTAAACAGTTATAAGAGTACAATTAACTCTTGATTAATGCACTTATTGAAAATATACTTCTCCAAAATGTATTCAGAGGCCGGGTATGTTTATTTATCTGAGTTAGTTTAGTTCAGTCAGCTTTACGGCTGGAGAGTCACAGCTAGCTTTGCTATGACCATTTATTAAAACATCCTCCTACTACAATAAGCCTTCAACACTATTCTCAACTATTAAATGATTCATCTTGAAACATTAAAAAGACAGCTGGAGAAATATTTAACCAACTAACACAGCTGCCATTAATATATTTGAGGTAAATATAAAGCTAGATTGGGGAGGTGAAGCTTAGCTTGATTAGCATTGTGGATTTTTATACAGAATAAACCATATATTTAGGAACATTAAAAAGAGAGGTAGAGAAAAAGAGGCTACTTGTTTTTAAACGCAGACTTTCGCCAGCTGAAACATTTAAGTTCCCATCAATGGCTCATTTCATCCGCTATAGTGAGCCAGCTTTTTTAAGCTAATGCTAGCTCTGTCAGTCGGTTTTAAAATATATTTATCCTGCTTTCTTTTTAATGTTTCAAGATGGTTTGTTTAACTTTACAAACTCGTATTAAAACTTGCAGGTGTATAGTACAGTATTAATGGACAGAGCCAAGATAGATGTAGCTCCCCAGCTGTTATGCTAACTGAGATAAGCTAACTGTCTTCCTAAAGACTAATTTAAGCTAATGCTCTGCCATTTTGTTTTTTATTTCTGACTCCATCTTAAAGCATGTATTACTGCATTGATGGTAGGCAGAGCAACAGAGGGAATTACTCTTTAATCCTAGATAGGCTAACCTTGTCTTGGGTACAGCTCCATATTTAGCATACAGACATAAAAGCGGTACACATTTTGTTCCGATTCAAAGCATAAAAATGTATGAATATATTTTCCAACATTCAAACAACTCTTTTTGGAGCACTTACACAAACTTTAAGTGCACTTTTCAAGAGTTAGCTGCAGAACATAAAATGCATCAAACTCAAAAGAGCCCCAGCAACTTAACGTACGATGAGGTTGAGAAACAATGATCTGATGGAAGTTTTAATAAACCGCCTTCCTCTGTCCAAGCACAGAAAGGCTTGCCCAAGCTGCACAATGATAAATATAGCCTTAAGTCTTTTCTTTCCCTCCCTTCAACTAATCCCTCATTCATTCCTAACAGGCAGGTTGCGTCACCATGGCTACCAATGATCTGATGTCCCAGTGTTGGACCCGGTCCGCGGTATTACTCAGTAACTCTGTGTGCCAGAGTTAATTCAATCACGGCATACTTTAACATCTCTTAAATATTCTTAACATGAGGAGAACTTGTACTTTCTAAATCTGCTTTATAAATGCTCAGAAGCAGACTCAATGAATAACCCTCGGGGGAATTTCACAAGGACAAAACATGTGAAAGGTTCACGTTTTACAAAATCAAATTCTTGACAAAGGCACTGCTAAAATACAGTGAACATTACTTTAAGATATAAAATACTAACACTGGGGATCAAGTCACAATATTCAAGAGACAGAGTTGTCAGTGTGGTTCTAAGAAATGCATCAGATTTGCTTATTTAAGAGCTGGATTTGATTATTTCCTGCGTAAACAGATGCAGTCCTGCCAGTGAAGAATGAACTTATTCAGGAGTGAAGGAGGGGAGGGGGGGACTCTGAATGAGGGACGCTGTGTTCAAGAGCCCAGTCTCACTGGTTTTGATCCATGAATGGCTGAATAGCTCCCAAAAAAAAAGCTGTTCACCTCACTGTACTCTGGGGATCTTTATAGCTACTCCTGTTTTAGATTCGCAGCGTTGGTCAGGCTAAATGGAGACCAGGCAACACAAATGCCACTCAGTTTCATACTGCATGGCCATTCATTAGAAAATGTTGATTTAAACATATTGGCATTACATCCCTTATGTCCTAAATCCAAAGAAAAATAAACCATAAACCACTATTGGATGCAAAACCTGCAAATTGAAAGCTTCTGCCGATTAAACTTCAAAGAAAATTATTTGGCTCTCTGAGGAGTTATTTTTAACACTCTCCATATTAAGTTGCATTTTCTCAGTTGTGAGCAGCTCCTTAAATGTTCTTTGTGTATTAATCCCCATCAACACACTGAAAAATCAGGTGGTTTAGGTTTCCAACCTGGTTTTATTTAAAACACTTCATGTCGTCCCTTTTCCAATATACTTAGAAAGTGTTCCATACAGACTTGGGACTCTGTGGTTACCTGTAGCATCAACTGTAAACTAGTAAAAACCTTAAAAGTAGAAGTATTATGTTCAATAAATATCCTTAAGTCAGTCATTCCTTCGTAGGGCGACAGCTCTTGGCATTTTGTTCATCTTGGTGTACCAAATGTCTCTAATTTTATATGCAAATTCTAAAATATTCTGTCTGTTTTGTTCAGTATGTTTTACCTTTTGTATATCCTCTGGGTGTGGTTTCCATAGAGGCCATTTACAGATTAGTGCCACACCCACACAAGTGTTTTTATATCCTCTAATTGAGCTTGATTTTCTTTATATTCTTGTGTGAAATAAATAAATGCCAGGGTTAAGAGTTAATATTTTTTGTCCTCTGCCAAATTTTAAATAGTCTCACTATCGAGCTTTTGCAGTAAGTTAAAAGAGCATAACCATTAACTGACGTAGGATTAGCTTAAAGTTTGTGATGAAGTTTTGCAAAATTATTAGATGGTTTCATATTTATGTGACCATCAGTCAGGGTGAAGTTTGCATTGCAGCAGTAATGAAGTGCAACTTCTCCTGTGTGATCAAACTTTCCACACAAATAAAAACATTTTTGAACCAGTAAGAAGCATGGAAGTCAGAGACAACCCTTGTTTTGTGGACAAGAGCTGACAAGAGTACAGATGAGAAGACGTCTTTCTGGAAATGGCCCGCAGCCCAGAGCTCTCAGAGGGCAGAAAGGCAGCCTTGTGTCCCACCGTGCCGTTTCATGGCTTAGACATTGACCCGCTCAGGCTTGGCTGCAGCCGTGCCATGTGGTTAGAAAATAACAAATGTTGTGACAAGTTAACTTAGCTGCCTGTAACGACAACCCCTCCTCCAACCCATCCCCCCCCCTGTCTCCAGCTCAGCTTGGTTTAGAGTTTTGAAATTCCTTAAAGAAGCTTTGTTCACTCATGCACAGAACACACTAAATATCTGATTAAAGGTAAGAGTTAGAATGATAGCTTCTCTCTTCTCAGTTCCTGAAACATTTCCCAAATGAAAACATGAGCTCTTAATGATCGAAGGGGATGTTTGATGGCCCTGGGCCCTCAGACGCAGTCAGTGAACACAATTAGAGCTTGAGAGAGCTTGTCAACATTTCTTTTCGTAGAAAAAAAAAAACTACAGCTTGTCAAGTGTCTATGCTGACTGTTTAAAGAGGAAAGTAAAAGCAGACAGGATTAGAGGTAGAAGTGATGACTGACAATGTAATGGCTGAGCGGTGAAATTATTAAATCATTTGAATGTTTGGTCTTTGTTTATCTTGGACAAGAGCAGGAGGAGGGCGGTGTCTGCACCACATTCAAACCATGAAACAGCAGGACAATGCTTGGCCCATTATTTCATAGTTTCCACATTCTTGTTTGCTGTTAATCTTTAATTTGCGTTGGCCAAAGGTCTGGTTAATCATTTTTACAATGGCTTTGCTCTTTAGGTAATTGAATATGCTCTTTAGTTTCTTTTTTTTTGTAACCACATAAAAAAAGCTTTCTATTCTTTTCTGTTGAGGTTAATCTCACAGTAAAGCCATAGAAACCTGTTGAATGCTGACAGAATGATGACAGCAGAACTAAAACTTGACGTTAAGGGAATTGGGAGGAGGACAATGCAACAGGAAGTTGGTTTGTCAGATACATAACTCATTTTGTCTTCTTTGGAAGTGCAAACAGCCCAAGATGCATTTGATACTTCCCTGTGTATTGATTTGCTTGAGCATTAGCCTCCCATCAGCTTGCATAATCCATCACTGGATGACGCAGAGCAACAAGAGAAACACTGCTCCTGATAATGACTCAACACACTGTTGTGAAACGCTTTTAACCTTGGGAGAAATGTCTGCTTACTCGTATTCAATATATAGATAAAACCCGAGTAAGTTTTGCTCCTTACCCCGAGACCCACCTGATCTCACGAGCCTGTCTAACCTCTCCATGGAGGGAGAGGGCACCCGGGACCTGGGGCTGCCGGGTAGGGAGCACTCTGAGCCGGCATCGAAAGAGTCCTCATGGTTCAGCATGAGCAGCTCCCTGACACACTTGTGGCAGACACTGTGCTGGCAGGGCAGGATCAGCGGGTGGGTGAAGAGCTCCTTACAGATCGGGCAGATCAGCTCCCTCTCGATGTTCTTGATCGGGACCTGATGGGTGACAGAAGCTTGATTATAGACGTACAACTGCACTTTTAGATGAAGGACTTCTGCATGAAACAACACCACATCTGCTGTCTGTCTTCCAACACTCATCCAAAGAAAAAAAAGGGTGAACACTAAGACAGAAATAGCATCACAGATCAGTCTAAAAGAGGCACGACACCTTCAGTGTTTGGAGGATACAGCCTTCTTTGATTTCTGGAACAATAAGCTATTCTTAGGAGAACTAATATGCAGCTGAAGTGGAACTACTGTCTGCACTTTGAGCTGTGAAAACAACATTTTACCTTTTGAGGTTAAAAACGCAGCCTTCATTGATTAAGTTCATATTAAGCATCTATGAAATTAACAAAACATGCAATGTAGACAAAGGAGGTAGTCTAAAAACATGCAATGTGCCATGTTTTAATTATTATAATGTTGTTCTTATTTATAATAAAGAGGGATTAAAGAGAAAATTAAAATGTGCATATTATCCATAACTCGTAGTTTGTCTATCTGCTTTTGTGTTTTAAACTACCAGTGTTTGCAATATATATTTCTCCTTTAAAAAAAAAAAAAAAAAAACACAATCTGATGGTAGCAGACAGTTAGCTTAGCTTCAAAACAATGAAAAAGCATGGTCATTATACCCATGCCTCCATCCAACAGGTCAAATATAGTGACTCATGCTGATCGAGATTTGTTTACCACACCTCACCTTATCTAATGAAATAAGTTCATACCTTTGCAATGTGTTTACTGCAAATGTTCATATCTCGATTATGACGACATTGCAATCAATTGCGCAGCCGCAGTACGCATCAATCACTTTCGCAATAAATAACTTAAACGTTAGGCAGCTGTACAGGGAAGGCAGGCTATAGGCTGTGCTCCTTGTTGTGTTATTTACAGAGAACAAACATTGTAGGCTACAAGGTAAAACTTGCAGACAGGCAGAAACCTCGAGCAGCACCAGAATTCATTTGGGATTGAACAAGTGTAGTTTTTATTCTGTCGCCTGTTATCACACCTTCAACAAGGCACTGATGAAGTCACAACAACAACAGCCAGAGATGAGGTCTTTACTCTGTTGCTGATGCATTACATAAGACAGGATTAAGCCCGGCTAAATATAGACAAACAGTAGTGAAACAAATGGTCAGGAGCTCACGTTTAAACATTGCAGACGTGGAAAACGTGGAAAAACAAACTCAAGAGCCAACACTGTCCTCTTAATGATTTAGAGGCTGATTGGTTCATTTATTTCAGCCGGTGTGATAAAGCATGTCAATAAAAGTCTGCTTCAGCAAACATTTGATTCAAGACAAAACGCCACCACGCGTTGTGAATAAGACAACACACTGAAGGAGAGAGGAAGCTTAAACACAAAACAAATAAAGCCGACACACTCAATGTTTCAGAAAGAAATGTGACGCTACAATGAATAATGAATGGGCACACACGCTGGTGAGGGTTGACAGTGTAACTTTTCACAATGTCTCTTCTCCATGGAGGAGAAGCTACAGGCTGCCTCAGACAATGACGAGTCGGAAAGCGTTGTTGTCCTCCTCCCGGCTTCAGAAATCTGCTACAAACTTACCGCAGTCGTGCTGCTGCGCCGCTTTTCTGCAGACATGATGACGGAGGAAATATCAGCCTGGAGCCTTTGTGAGAGTTTAATTAAGAAATACACTTTATCCGGCGCTTTCTATGTGTGTGTGCGTGTCGTTCGGGCTAAAAACAAACAAACAAAAAACTTCTCCGGCGCAGGCATATAAGATGCCGACAGCGACGACTGAATGAATTTAAATAGAGTGACGCTGCTGAGGGAGGCTGCGCTGTGGTGAATCAGGAGCCTATTCACTGCTGCAGTGAACACAGGGAGGGGGCGGGGCGAGAGAGAGAGAGGGAGGGGGCGAGAGAGAGAGAGAGAGAGAGAGGGGGGCGAGAGAGAGAGAGAGAGAGAGAGAGGGGGGCGAGAGAGAGAGAGAGAGAGAGAGAGGGAGGGGGCGAGAGAGAGAGGGGGGCGAGAGAGAGAGAGAGGGAGGGGGCGAGAGAGAGAGGGGAGGCGAGAGAGAGAGAGAAAGAGAGAGGGGGGCGAGAGAGAGAGAGAGAGAGGGGGGCGAGAGAGAGAGAGAGAGAGAGAGAGAGAGAGAGAGGGGGGCGAGAGAGAGAGAGAAAGAGAGAGGGGGGCGAGAGAGAGAGAGAGAGAGAGAGAGGGGAGAGAGAGGGAGAGAGACAGAGAGAGAGAGAGAGGGGGAGGGAGAGAGAGAGCGAGAGAGAGAGACAGAGAGAGAGAAAGAGAGAGAGAGGAGGGGGAGAGAGAAAGAGAGAAAGAGAGGGAGAGAGAGAGAGAGAAAGAGAGAGAGAGAGGGAGAGGAGGAGAGAGAGGGAGAGGAGGGGGTTAATCTCCATAGGAACTGCTGCTGCCTTCAAGTGCTCCTCGTAAACTTTATTTGAGTCATCAGTCAAAGAGCTCAACTCATCTGTTTCTATGACACACGTGAAGTTGGGAGACGTCACTACTTTAAATTCATTATCTTCTCGATTTAAACCAAAGTGATCGACATGTTAGCCAACTTTATCACGAGTATTTATTTAGATTTGTGTTGCATTTATATATTCATATAGCCTAGTTATATATATTTTATGTAAATATGTATTCATATTTCATTTGTCTGTCTACTCGTCGTTATATTGAATAGTTTCTGCTGATAATATGTCGACACTCCTGCACTTTAACTTATGTCAGTACTGTCCATTTACAACTCTGTTCTTGCACATTTACATTTAATCTTTCATATTGAAGACTAGTAATGTTTAGTTAAATCCTGGTTGTATATATTCACATTCTTAGTTTTGATATTTTTAGTGCTTATTTACTTTGTATTTAATATTATATTGTGTTTAGATTTGCTAATATTGTGTTTTTTACTCATATTGTGTGTTTGGACAACCTGTTGCTGTAACGCCACAATTTCCCAGTTTGGGATCAATAAAGTAATTCTATTCTATTCTATTCTATTTATGTTTTATTTATTATATTATTTAGATTAGTGTATTTATTTTTATTTATTTATTTGCTATGTATGAGCCTACCTGTCCTAACACATACTACTCAGGATTAGATTATTTAATGCTCTCATTAAACTAAAACACACTTTATAAGAAGATAAGAAAAAGTCATTAGGTACAAGATACAACAATGAAGCTGAACGAAGATTGGTAGGCTACAACAAATCAAACAACTACTTTGTTGAAATAGCTAGGAGGAAATATAGCACAAGCTTATTCCAACACCATTTCCTTATATAGCCTTAGTCAGGTGTGTCTGTAAATTGCTAACAATTCGATTAGTGTAAATGAATGAATCGGTTTCTGAATGTATATCTTCAATGAAAACTAACTGGCTAAATGACTGACATAACATAGACATACTCACCATCTGTAAAAGGGATTATAACGTTTGCTTATTAGAATACAACTCAAATACATCTGTTGCAAATAAGTTCATTTTGTCGTGCGGGTGATTTTTGGGTAATTGAACAAATAAACTTTGGCCTGCTGTTAGCACGAAAGAAAATGCTGACAGGTTGCCCTCGTTCTCTCAGTTTACATTGAGTGCAAACTAGAATATCTACATCTGTGCTGGTTTATCAGGTAGATTTTATTGAATAAGGGAACATATTGAACTACTGCTTGATCAATCTTCAGGCCATCATCTTCAGGCCATCATCAAAGTTGCAAGGCTTCATCCTCTGAGGAACATGAATGTTGGTGGGACGAGACAAAGGAAGCCACACCGTCGTGCTAACACACTTGTCATTGGAGACTTTGTTGGCAGTTCAATTTCTATTCTATTTCTTTGCAGTTTTTGGTCCTGCCTTATTATCCACATGTTTGTGTAAAACACTGAAACTGATCATATTATGTTTGAGTTAGGGCCGATGAATATTGATCAGCGGTGGATTGGACTGGCTTGTCGCATTTTTCCATCTGCACAATTTTGAAAATGGCGGCGATGCCAGAAATGTTGCAAATGCAGGAAATAAGATTCTATCCAGTGGTCCAATCACAGAGCTTGCAGTTGCGTCGTTTAGAAACGTGATTACAAAGGCTTCTACTTATAGGTACAGGGCTATACGTGAACCTGGGTAGATTTGACCCAGAAGTATAAATTAGGCTTTGGTCTTTACACTTCACATTGAAGCAAGCATAAACATGTATCACAGTCATTTTCTCATTCAATGACTAAATGTTCACAACGTTTCACAGAATAAGTGAAACATTGACATGTAGGGGATTCCTGAGAAAAACTTGGAAGATCATCACAGTCATAATAATGTATCTGTTAAGGATCATAAATATTTTTATCTAATTTCTTTGTTCATTGTTGTGAAGCTTTTGTATTGTGAACCACAAACTACTGTCCCAATGGGATCATCAAATTAAAAAGGAATTCACCTCTGGGTACTTTTACTGTCTTTACACAATTTGATACATCAAAGTTTTAACTTTTTTTGTGTTGAGCATCCAATTCTTTAAGACTTAGCGTGTCAGTATAGCTTGGCTAACAGCTTGAATCCAAATCATAGACTCGTCTTATGAACAACATGGAGCCATGGGTGACCTGACACAAAGTTTTAATCAACTGTGAGGTGAAGACAACTAAAATTCAGTTTAAAAATGATGCTGGACAAAATGTGTTTGTGTTCTGGGAAGGCCCGAAAGTGTGTTGTTTCTTCAGATCGCCGTGTTAGCACATGAAAGGCCATTATTGTGCTTTTAGCTGCAAAAACACAGTGTGAGCAGTTTGTGTTTTATGATGCAGAGACAGAAGTGCAGGGGGCTGCACTGTGGTTGACTTATCGTCCATTAGGTGTTTAAGTCTGCTTAAGGACTTTGGTGATTGAAGAGTTGTGCCTTGTTATTTGTGTCTAGTTGTGCCTTTAATTATTGCTGAAAATCTTAAGTTAAAAAGCCTTTCTTTGCATTTATTTAGAATAAGCTACAGAGGTTTCCTGAGTTTCTGAACTCAATGTTTGTTCATGAATTCATCCCTCACATAGGCTTCTATAAAAGAGGCTATAACTTCTGTTAACTTGACAGTCTCTACTAAAGTCAGTGTCCCTCCTTTTATTTCAGTAGATTTATGATCTGCTAATCGCTTGCTGAAATAGTTGTACGGATCGTTTTATTGTACATTGGGGCTCCCTAGCAGGTCAATCCAACAGAGTTTAATTTAAACAACAAAAGGCCCCATGTAACAGCTCCCAGAGGGGGTTAGGAGAAGTCTATAGAAAATACACCATAGCATTGATACTCTTCTATACCATCACAGAGCAAAGTGGTTATAAAATCTTTGATTTAATCTAAGAGTGCACAGTCATCATAGTCGCTGCAGCCATCTGAAGGACTTTGTCGAGTCATTCACTTCTCCAACAGCATTTCTTGGCAGACAACAGTACAGGCAATTTGTGTAGGGTCCTCGCGGCTCCACAGCACTCACTGGAGGTTACAGAGGTTTCATCTATGTCTACACTTCTATCAATATAGTGCATGCTCTTCTCCGGATAAATACGTTTTGATTACAATATCTATGGGTGAGGCCATGTGATCAACGGGCATCTGAACAGGGTGATTGAGATTTCGTGTCTGCAGGATAAAACATCTAAATGGCTCCAGAAAATTGTGTATAACTTTCAAAGTGAACGGTCTATTTCATATCTCATTGCAAAAGGTCCCTTAACATTTTACCAGTGAATTCTGGACAAGCTGAAACACAACTTTATGATGAATGAATGATAGCCTACTAAATTACAATATGGTGCATTTACACAGAGGGTCTATATCAATCCTTATTGTTTCACACGGCTTTAAGAAATTTAGAGTTCACTTTTAGGGAGGCTCAACTCTGAAAAAGCACAACGTGTGTTAGAAAAAAGACACAAAATGTCTGCGCAGTCGCTCATGCTGAAGAATCTTTTAAAACTTTGATATATGTTTGTGTTTGTAGTTGTTGACATTTTGATGTTTTTTTTATTCTCTCTGATCATTCTGATTCTACCGAGATGCCCTTATTCTGCAAGACAGGTCTCATCAAATTTTAAAATATCACTGAATTCAGCAACACTAGCTGGCCACTGTGTAATTTGTGTGCACAGTCTGCTTTGTGTTTCAATAAGACACATGAAACACACACACACACACTCTCTCATCTCATGCATGCATGGATGAATGTCAGGGATTGAGTGAGCAGGAGAGATGTGTTTCAACACACTCTGTCTGTCTGATTGGGTGAAATGGTTAACAACCCCCCTCACACACACACACCTCAGTAACCCGGTGCCCTGTCTCTGCACGCAGCTGCTGCCAAGTGTCCCACATATTGACAGGAGTCTGTGAGCTGCCTGTAGCACTAACTCCCAACACTCTCAGCAACTGAAGCCTCTAATTAAACTCTTTATGTCCACATTTTTTTTTTCCTATCTCTAAGAATAGAATACAGGCCTGTGCCTCAAGCCAGGAAGCCCTGACACAGAATGATGAAGAATATAATAGAGCTGAAAAGAGAGTGTGTGGGTTAGTCTGTAGGTTATTCAAGGCTCCGTTAAGAGAAATCACTCAGATCGTCCCACATTCTCAGAGTAGAATTATGGCAGTATGTCACTACTTAATACAACGTGTAAAGGATACTACGATGACAAATTCAAACCAGAGCTGAATAAAATACAAGATTATAGCGTTTGAACTGCTGAGTGTTTTCAATAGGAGAAGAAGAAGCAAATGCCTGACATATTTTACAGAAATAGATCAGAAAAGAATGGAAAAGGCTCTAGAAGAGGGTCTATTACAATCTTAGAGAGACAGACAGGCTTGAATATAAGCTCGGTCAGTACGGATCTAGTATAGAAATTGGTCTGGTTGCTGGAGAGGTGGATACCAAGGTGCCATTGAGCAAGGGATGAAACCACAACTGTTCAGGACGCCCTCTGTGTGCAGCCCCCCTCACTCTGACATCTCTACATTAATGCATGTGTGTATTTTGGGGCCTATGTGTGATGTCTCTCAGTAACAGTGTAAAGCCAAATATCTCCTCTGAGATTACTAAAGGATATATTATATATATTACAACTTTATACATTTGGTTATATTTACAAGGAAATTATAGAAAACATTATGATACATCAGGATGAAAATATTATAGATCAGGGATGATGTAAAGTTGAATTGTCATAATATCCTATATAGGGATGATGTATCATTGGGGCTGTACAGATAATAATGCAAAAAAAATCGAAATATTTAAAATTGTTTCCACTCTATAGGTGTGGTAATAGTAGAGGCATACACCTGTACTGCATCTTGATGGAGAATTAGAGTACAATAGATGACAGTAGAATAGGTGTGAGTCTAACTGTGAGCAAATCAATTAATAGAACAGAAGGCTCCATATTAATACCTGATGTCATGCTGGTAGAAGAAGAGTCGCGTGGATAGTGGTCTCATATGATGCAATATAGCGCGATGTGACATTAATGAATGGAAAATGTTGGCACTATCTATGAAATGAAATCATTGACCAGGTAGTGGTCGCGGGGTTTGCCAGCCCCCCCTCTCCCTCTCCGTCCCCTGACAGCCCTGCAGGCCGGCCTGGTGCGGCTGCTGTCGTCCGACTCATGATGACACACACACACACACACACAGAGACAGAGAGAGAGCTGCTGTCAGAAAACAGCCGTAAATCATCCGGATGAGACTCACCTCGCCCCGCTCGATCCGCTCCACGATGCTGTTGAACTCCGTCATATCCTCAGAGTCCGACATGGCTACAGATGGAGATGATGGATGCTCAGTTGGGGGATAAAAAAAAAAAAATAATGTGGAAAAACAAACACACGAACAGCAGCCGCGGCTTAAAGAAACAGGATGTAACGGTCCGCAGCTTCACAGTGGGAGGTGAGATAAGATGAAGAGACGCTCCTCACACCACATCACCATCCTCTTCTCTGCTCCCTCCCTCTCTGTACGGCTCTGTGTGTTTGTCTAGTGACTCTACAGTACATGCGCCGGCTCAGAGAAGCCAGTTTGCTTTTTTAGTTTGCCTCATCTTGGAGGGAAAACCCCGCCCTCCTCTCCTCTCTCTTCAGTATCTCCATCTACATCATCCCTTAGCGGCGATGTCTCGACGCACAGAGCTCTTTGTATCCTCCTGCTCTGTCATCCATCATCCCCGCACTGAATGACTTCCCTTTTCATCCATCAGTCACCACGAATAACCATAATAATCTCTGGCTGAAGATTAAATGGGAGCAGGGAGGGGGGAGGAGGGGGGGGGTCTTAAATCTGTTTAGCGCTGTCCAGTCAAGTTGGACATTTACGCATGGCTGGCTGCGCGCTCATGTGTACGTATGGCATGATGCTTCACGTGGGCCGATTTCGGTTAGTTGCCTGACTACTGCAGCTCTCTGGTAACAAATTGGTTTATGTTCTGTTGTTGTTGAGGAGCAGTTGCCCCTAAATATGTCACAGATTCAGATAGAGACCAGTTTCTTTATGCATGATCTGGAATGTGAGGCGACCGCGTGAGGCCGGATTAAGTTCGTGTTTTTGATTTTTCTGGCAATGCCACTTGTTCCGCGTCACCAGATGGCCTCATGGCTTCACGCAGACATATTCCACCCCATTGAGCATGTGGATGGGGACAACAGGGCAGTCTGCCCTAACAGAGCCAGCAAACGGTGCATGACAAAACTAATAACTCAGTGTTTAGAGCGGTGGAGTCATCTCTATTGTGAGCTCAAAATGAACACTGTTAAGACCAAGAAAAGTGGAATAACACTTATCAGTACACCACTTTTTGATAAATCATCTGTCCCAGGGGGTGGTCAGTGGTGTCCTGGCACAGCCTGATAATCTGATCAGCAACCTCTTGGGCCAACTCCAAATCCTAAACTGTGATTGGCTATTTGCCTCGACAGAGGTGGGATTTATGTCCACTATTAGGGCTGTGATGCAACAGGCTACTATAGTCTCTCTTTCTAATACATTTCCTTTTGTGAGTACTTTAAATTGCTGCTTTGGGCCAACACCTTAAAGAAATAAGATGAGCAGATGTATATGTTGGGACTCTGTTGGGTTACTTTTCTGAGTCAGAAAAATCTACTTGAATGTTCGGGTATGCAGCTTAATGTTGGGTGTACGCATACTTCATAAGTCGGTGCCCCATTGGGAAGCCCCAGTCAATAAGTCTGTATCAGTCCCAGCATCTGTCATAAAGACTTTTGTAAATTGTTACCAATGTCTTTAGAGAGCATGCAGCTATAAGCCAAATAAAATAAAATGTTTTGGGGTTGCCATGTTGTGAACGAGACTGAGGTTACTTCAAAGACTGTATTTGAGAGGTAACCAAAACCACTGTGACATCACCCGTTGGTTTGTGGACAGCATTTTGTCTGTCATCACCTTTGAAATTTGGAGTCAGCAATCACCATGTTTGGATGAGAGGACCAAAACCCAAGAGCTCCAGTTCAGAGCGCCGAATTAGCTGAGGTGAGTCCTAGAAGACAGTCAGGCACCAGCTGTCACTCAAAGTAGCTCCAGCCTTTGCTTCATATAATTTACACAGCTGTGAGGTGGGGAATCAACGTGCAGAGGCACAAACGACTGACATTAGGAAAGACATGTAGCATATTCAGAAACGATGCAAAGACACAAGACATGCAAGAGTGCAAACAAATGAGCTCCAAATGCAGAATGCTGCAAAGTCAAAACGCACAAACACAGAAAACTGCAAAAGAGAAACACTGCAAACCCAGACTTGTAGAGACGCCCAGTGGAAAAACTTCTCATTGTTTATATATTTTGCGTGCCTCTAACATTCACTGATACAGATGTTTGCTTTTAAGTTTAATGTGTAAAAGAGACTAATTAGCGTAACGAAGCGTAAGGAGAAATTGGAAGTTGCCATCAAATTTCCTCACAGTTTGTCAAAGAGTGGTTTTAGAAATCCAAAACAAACCTCATATTGGCACTTAAGAAGGGGACCATGAATGTCAGTATCAAATTTCAAGACAATTTATCCAATTGTTTGCAATATTTTTTCCGGGGACAAAGTGGTCGACCGTTTGACTCATAAGACATGGCCATCTTTGGAACCGTGCAGCTATACATGTGGGCAAATCATACGAAACGTGTTACCTACTTTTGCTACGATCTGGGAGAAATACCTCTAAAGCAATCATAAAGGCAATAATTCTTACATACTAACCCTTTAATAACGGTGCTCGGTTACCTCATGGGTCAAGGGCAGCACATTCAGTTGCTCTTCTGAACCTTTTACGACCCTTTCAATAGACTCTTGGGGGCAAAGAAGAGCCCAGAGCTCATGTATAATACAATATCTGTGAAGATGACACTTGACTGCCCCATAAAAAGACACATAACTGAGCCACAGTGCCCTCCACTTTACTGAATAATCAATAGATAGCATTGATGAGTGTGCTTTACAAAGCAGAATTGATTTGACTTGAATAACTCCAGAGGAAGCAGCTGTTATATAACCACATGTACAGTTAGTCCGCTCAGGGCCTGTGGGTAAATAAACATGAGTCATCATATGGCATGTGTAATGCGGTAATCCCACTGTACATGTATGATTGTGTGGTAGCCACAATTCTGATCAATTAACATGAAATCAAGTCCCCCCTCTTCCCTTGGTTTGCACGTGCTTGACTGAGACAAAATTCACAAGATTTCAGATTCATTTTTCCCCCACAATCAAACTTTAAAATAACAAGACATTAACTTAAGTTTTCATGGTGTCTATGGTGGCTTTCATAGACGGTATAAAAAGATGGACCGGGGCGCTGGTGGCGCAATGGTTAGTGCGCGCACGCTTGAGACTACAGCCTACATGGAGGCTGTAGTCTCAAGCGGGCGTCCTGGGTTCACAGGACGCCCCATGAGGTGGGATGTGGGTTCACATCCCACCTGTGGCACGTCGTTCCCCACTCTCTCTCCCTGATGTCCGACTCTATCCACTGTCCTATTTATCCATTAAAGGCATAAAAAAAAGCCCAAAAATAAATCTTAAAAAGAAAAAAAGATGGACTATGGGGTGCAAGTAACCAAGCAGTTAGTGCATGCGCCCCATGTAAAGAGGCTTTATTCCTCGAGAGGGTTCAAATCCAACCTGCGGATCTTACCCGCATGTTGTTTCTGACTCTATTCACTGTCCTATTTCTAAAATAAAGGCATAAAATCCCCCAAATTAAATCTTTACTTTAAGAAGATGGACGACATGACAGCTTCCCAAACATGAAGCCAAAAAAAGCAAATTCAAAAATGCCCGTTTTTACAGCTGAAATAAACATGTTTACAGCCTGGTTAAAATGTCTTATAGGCACACACGGTACAGGGGTGAATTATTTTCTACCTCATCCTATTTTTTTTTTTTTTAAAGATAACAGCTATTCATAAAAAAGTGCAGATGCGGTGTAGCGGTTTGTCAGGTGGCTTAAGACCAGTAACCAATTGATGCCACTGAGACTTTCTCCATGTTTATTTACAGTCTATGGTCAAAGCATTTGGAGCTCCCCCTCTTGACAAGCTGCAATATAGGTCAAAGTCTCTAAATGGTCCATGTTAACAAATGGACATGGGAAAATCAAAATACATCCAAATACATTTTTCTCTAACGTGATTTCTGTCTTATAAGTTATTTTTATCATGCTGATTAATGTCAGTGTTGATTTTTCTTTTGGCTTCACTTTTGAACAAAGGGATGAAGTGGAGATGCACTGTCCATCTTTATACACAGTCTATATTATTTATATGTCACAGAAAAACTCTTTTGTCTCACAGGTATAAAATGTCTGTTGTAATGGGGGAGCGTAACCATATCCAAACTACAGCTGCTGCAGCTGGCTGCAGAGGGAGCATCTGACGACTTTAACCCGGGTTGGGCTGTATTCACAGGGGAGGAAACACATCTCGACTGAACATTGTTTTCCTCGATTCTAAAAATTGCATCATAAACTTGAAAGCACCATAAAATGTGTGATCAGCTGTCTCATTTTTGGAATCCCCCCCATTACATTAAGATTCGCTCTCTGAGTACAGTAAGGCCAGTTTTTCCTGTATTAAATTACTTAATCAGTGCCAACCGTGAGGTCTGTAACCGTGCTATGCAGCTCCCTGTGGGGTCTATATATGTGTTTGCATGTGTGGCCTGTATCCTGTGAAACTCCCCTTCCCCCCAAGCATTTTAATTGTGCCTTAGTCACTGACCTAGCAATGAACGGAAACAAAATCATCATCAAACTGAAGCTCAACTCATGCATGTTGCAGAAGAAAATGAAAGGGCAAATTAGGAAAAATGCTGACCAGTTGTCATGTTTGAAGTTAAAAATGGAGCAGTTTGGAGTCACCCAGCCACACAGAACCAACTGTGAACAATCTTTTATACAGAAACTCAGCTGTTAGAGATAATCATACAACACCCATGTTTCTTTTTCTGTACTTCCCTCACATAAGGGCAACTTAGACTTTGTTTCCTCCTTTCTAGATCCTCACTTGTGTTTTTCTTACTCTCTGAAGTGCATCACTTTGGATAAAAGCGTCTGCTAAATGAATGGTAGAATTGATACAGAAAACTCACCTCTCCTGGCATGTTCACTGGAGTAACAGTGGCATGTTGAACACAGGACAAACATGTTAGTTAGACACAAGACGGTGAATCCATTTCTCTATTATTAACAACATCAGCCTCTGATACAAATATCTTCACCACATATAACAGGAGCTGAGAATAAATAAAATAATGTTGGCTGTTAGGTGTACAAATGCATGTTTTTGTTGTGGAAGGAGGGGGGTTGGGGTATTCTTAGTGCTTTGTGTTGATTATGAAGTTTTGGTGACACCGTGAACCTCAGTCTATTGTTACCAAAAGGCCATTTGTATCTACTTGTGTTGTAATCTTTTCACACTGTACTGCAAAGCTGAACATTTTCTGAGTGGGTTGCATGTGTGAACACAAACAACCAAATTTTAATCTCCTATTTTGTCCAGACTTTCTCCAGCCATCCTCCTTGTAAAAATATCTGCAACAAGTCAGGGTGGGCCAATGTGCATACTGCAGCCGGGGCAGGGCTGATGACGTTTATATCTGAGGATGAGAGTCATGCTCTTTTCATTCACATGTTCAAATGCCTTTGACTTTAATCATCCTATGGCTAACAGGTTTTAAATGAAAAACAAGCCTGACATATTTTCCAAACAAGTTGCTGAGACAGACAAAAATCACACTGAACCCAGAAGAATTGTAAAAGTTAGTATGCCTTTTTATTCAACATATATACAGCATGCACCACCAAGCTTAAATCCAGATCACTCTCCTCAAACTGGAAGCTGAAGTAATAGAATACATTAAACGTTTGCTCTTCAAACTCCTCTAACCATCTCAAAGCTGTACCTGTAAACATGATTTGATCTTGAGCACTTGCACAAAAGAAGTCACATATTTAAAGACATTTACATATTTATCTACACTCAATATTTCTACAAAGCATAGAAAAAATAAATTCCGTTACATGTATTGTTACATTATTCAATATTGCATTATGTATGTTTAATGATGACGAAGCAAAGGTTCAAATTGCCCATTTTGTAGCATTTCAGCTGCATGTCAAAAGAAAATCATGATTCTTTACATCTATTCAGCATCCAGGCGGCTTTTCCAGCAGTCTGCTTAAAAGCGCAAAGCCTCGTCCCGTCTTTTCATGCTGTTCGGACCGAGAGCGCCAACTACAGCGTAACGTAGCAAAAGTGAGAAGTGATATAAAACTCTGCAGAAAGAAGCAGCTTCGTCCATCAAATCTGTCATCCCGTTTAAAGTCGAGTAAGCAGTTATGGCTTCGGCCTAAATGAATTATTCTCTCCTTCTGGAATAAACGTCAACGATCAGACGCGCAGGTAAAATGACCTCAATCAGTAAGCCTTCGTCTGATTGGATAAGAGGACCCTGCAAAGCCAGGCAGAGGGAAAGTCAAGTTTCAAAATATGCCTTCACTCTGTTCCATGTAGAGAGCACATATTTTTGGTGCTTTTCTTTACAGAACAGAAACAGCAAAGCTATGCCCATTTTAGGCATGCTGTTCACGTAGAGGAGCATCAAGAGAGCGGTGACCCAGAACAAAAGTTACATGAGGCACATTTTTTCAGAGTTTAAGTTTTCGGGAGTATTTGTCCTTCTTTAAACACAGAGAGATCCAAACAGAAGGCAGCTGTAAAAGTGGTCATTTCAGGAGATGCACTGGAGACACAATCACTTTCTTTAGGTGCGTTTCTGACTTAGGACTTCTCAGATTTAGGATATTTTGTAAATATTCAACCAGAAGGGGATAAACTAGAACATACAACTCTGAAAAAAAAAAAAAAGAAAAAAGGAGAGACCACTGCAGAAGTATGTTTCCCTCTGGTTCTACACAATGCATTAGTGAACTCCTTCAAGTTATTTTTTGGCCATTTTTGCTTTAATGAGACACGACAGCAAAAGAGAGAAGGAAAATCTTGGGAAGAGAGAGAGTGGGGGATGACGTGCAGCAAAGCGCCGAGGTCGGATTCGAACCCACGGCTGCTGCGACGAGGACTGTAGCCTCCATGCACTGGGCGTACCACATGACCTTCTACTATCTTCGACTATCCAGTGCTCCTAAGTGAACTCTTTCTAAGTTGAAACATTAATAATCTGCACTTTAAAAATTTAAAAGAAACCAGTTTTTGTTGCATTACTTGCCGTCTGAAAAATACTGCATCATTTTGTTTTCTTAATAAAGTTTCCATTTTCTCAAAATGCAATGCCTTCAGTACATCTTATTTCGAAGTAGGGAGAAATGTGGTATAACATTAAACAAAACAAGTTAATTTCATTCAAGCAAACCTCTAAATAGAAGTACCAGAGAAATACATATTTTGTCAGTGGTCTCTAAATTTCTCCAGAGCCGTGATTAGATTTTTTAATTAAAAGTGAATTGCCTTTGTCAATTAAAAAAAATGGAAAAAATGAAAAAACACATGTAAAACATATGAAATCTAATGCTGAAAGTCACAAAATGTTTGTAACAAAAATGGCAAGGTAGAAGTCAGCAAGAGCAGAACTGTGTCTGAGGCAAAAACAGACTCAGAGTTAAAACAATGTAGCACTATAGGACACAGCTGAACACAAAGCTATTGTTCCTGCACCAAAACAAAGCTGAACAACAGCTTTGGTCAAGGTTCAGAGAGGACACAGAAGCCTCCGACGCTTTACTTTCAATAATAGATGGGACGTATTATTTATTTAGTCACCTCCCCTCCCCACTTCTCTCCTTTCCTCTGTCTCCCTGCTCTGCTTTCTACACATAAAAATCCAGGTCAAGTTGGCGGGGAGAGGGACGAGGCCAGGTTCATTTCAAACATGGCGGAGAGAAACACAGAGGTGGATACTATTTTTATATCTAGTCAGAGCTGGTGCTACACACAGTAGATTCCCCCCTGCAGGTAAGGTGTTGACAGACCACTATTTCTGCCTCGCTCTCCATCTCAGGGAGCAGGTGTTCGCTGTGGAAAGCAGCCTTATAATCAAAAAGGGTGTGGCTTCAGCAGGGAGGCTGCAGGAACCTGTGAAGCTGGAATAGCAAGGATCAGAGCTCTGAGGGCATGTGGAGCAGGTTGACATTTACACTATTTAATTTGCCTTTTTTTAGGGTTGGGACAAAATAGCAATATGGCAATATAATGTCATCCAGACTCATGGAACAGATTATGGAATAATATATGGGCAAAGATGAAGAAAAAGGCAGGATAAAAGAAGAATTTGAAAGAGGGATAACGTGGCAGTGAAGGGAAGTTAAAGGATGATCAGAGGTGAAACAGCTGTGTCAGGATATTTTCATGATAATGGATGTTGTATCAGGAGTTATCCTGCAGTTTCCACACCACGTCTCATGTTGGGATCTTATGATTTCACTTCCTCTCTTCAGCACAGCTTAAGGAAAAGAAGGCTGAAGGTCGAATGTATGATCATTTGTGTAGACAATGGGTAATGCAACAGAGAGTCCAGGTGTCCAAACCTCGCTCTTTGTTGGAAGTCGACATTATATGGACTCAACAGGAAGTGACAAACACGTCAGATTGTTTCTGTGGCACAGTCTGCTCGTGTGCATTGTTCTTTGTTTTTGCCCTGCGTCCTTTCTTTTACCAGAACAACAAGTCAGCTCTCAGTGCCGTTCTAAAGAATACACATCTCCTAGTTATGACGTCACTTGTTTCATCTTTTGTCTTATTGATTTGCAGGCTGCACGGTGCCTTAAAGGGAGGATGGAAAACTGGTGAAGGAGGAGCTGCTCAGATCAGTTCAGGGTTCAGGAGTCAGGGGATGTCGAGAGGGGATCAGTGGATTAAACAGAAGGGAAATACCCCGCAAGAAAGAAGGAATTTTCCCCTTCTGCCCTTAAGACGCTGAATCTTATCTGTTTGCCTTGAGAAAGCTGCGAACGGCATGCTATCTGCGATCTTAAAAGATAACGCCCGTAGCTAAAGTCATTGTTTAATCTTCTTTCTAGGGCGCTCTTAATTTTATTTTCTGAATCATAGCTCTGACCCTTAAGGCGGTTGTCGGCGCTGTGCTGCATTTTCCATTCATTTCACCCCAGCAGCTCGATTCTGATTTCAAATCTCAGTTGATCGCTGAACAAAACCCTCAAGTGGTGAACCTGCAGAGAGCTGAAGAGAGAGAGTCTACCTGCCAGGCATGAATCACACCTGTGGGACTGGAGAGCTTTGAGGCTTTGAGGAGGTTTTCAGGGGAAGGATTGAGATGTTAGGAAAGCAGAGATGCAAGATGTAAGGTACAGGGAGGAAAAGGCAACAGAGTGTTTGGTATCTGAGAATGCAGGGGTATTCATTAAAAGTTAAACGATCCTTTTTTCGCAAACGTTTATCTGCAAAACGGGACATAATTCAGATAGCAAGCAGACAGCTAGCAACGCCTTAGTGTCTCTACTCAGACCGTTTTCACCAGTACTCTGAGGTTGTTTCTGATGCCTTTGCTTGGTGGTTCATCCCTGGATAGGATGGTTTACAGCAGATTGTGTTGTCCACTATGATGATGATGAGGCTAAGGTGCAATAAAGCTTCATCGCTTCATTATCCAAAAGGACTTCGCAAAGTTGAGGCATCTGGAATATTTTCAAGATTCTAGCAGCTCAAATTTGACTTTCTGGCACATGTTTTAAACTGCAACAAATCACAATGAACACTGTCATTCCCTACAGTCTACTCATAAAAAGGCAGCAAAAAAAAAAGAAAGAAGAGTGACTTATACTGCTCGACAAAGAGAAAAAGTCACTTTACACAGACCGCTCCATGTAAGTCTTTCAAACCTTCCTGAAATGAGGAGGTCTCTCAGATGAGTGACCAACAGTTTCTAAGACAAAACAGCAGTTTCCAGTGGCCTCTCACAGACTACTGTTAGGTGTTCCTGATGACTGAACCTGTTCAGAGACAGAGCCGTGGACGATCCTGCTGTCAGAGCTGTCTGCTGCAGCTGCCCGTGCTGTCTCTCCACGTCTGCTGCAGCTGCTGGAGGTGCTGAAAGGCTCTCTGGGTGATGTTAAGAGCTGGGTGGACCTTCCTCAGGCTGGGCTCTCCGATCAGAGACAGACCGCACAGCCCTAAGTAAGCATGGAGGGGGTCTGGGGGACGCGAAAGGGAAAGGGAGAGAAAAGGGCGGAGAGGTGAAGAAACAGGGATGAGAGAGTGAGAACAGGGAGGGGGGTGGGGGGGGGAGGAAGACAGGGACGGTAACATGTTCAAACAGAAGCACCTGCATGTGACAGGTCAGTGGACTTCATCAGAGAGAGGAAGTCACCCCACTTCCCATTACCATGTTTAGTCAATAAAACAACCACATTTCCCATAAAGAACATCATTATGCAGAAGAGGTTTTTGTTGTTGTCCTGCTCCCAGAAAGTAGATAAATAATGCACATATCAAGGCCCCCCATGACCACCGTCTTCCCCCCTGGGACCAGGATAAAAGCTTCACAGGCAAGTAAATGGAGCAGTAATTGAATGATAATGAAATGAAAGCTGATTGGACACAGGCATCCGAATCAATCAAAACACCATTAGCTGCATCAATCAGGAGGGAGGAAGACTCGAGGCTGCACAGAAGACATTTCTGCTCAAGGTTTGTTTTCTAGCCATAGATTTTAGATCAGCAAACACACGTTTTGGTTTATGATTACAGGTATTGCTGGACTGAGACATCTTTGGGGAATATTTAACATGATGAGACGACGATTTCAATCAACTGTTGATCGGAAAATGTGAACACTGTCCCCCAGTTGAAATTCAGAGTGTTGGGCATTAATGTTGTGATCTTTATGAGAGTGCCACATCAGAAGCTCTCTCATGGTCACATTAATGGAGTTAATTATACCAAAGCAGTGGGGGCCTGGGGGTACAAGATTAACGGTAATGAGCAAGGTCCTGTTTTGGCCAAAAAATCTTAAACTGCTTCACTCCAGTTCATAGATGTGTTCATATTTTTATAATGAGGATTTTTTACGTTAATAGGCAAAAGATAATTAGTTTTAAATATTATATATTTATACAATTTTAAGAAGAATTAATGTATAGGTTTACACCAATAGATAAATAGGCTGACTGGACAATTACATTATTGTCTTCCCACTTTTTCTAATGTGTAAATTTTTTTTTTTGCATTACGTTTTTCAGTTTTGTAAATATTACATTGTTTTGGTCTGTCCGACTGTTTCGGGGGTCATTTCTCTTTTTTATATGTACAAAATGAAAATTCCAGATAAAAACAAACAGGACTGTCAGCAAAGTCACTGTTCACGTATGTGATGTTTTTGAGGATTAGAATTAAAACAGATTTTAATTACCCTTTAAACCATAGACTGTAAATATTAATGGACAAAGCATGAGTGATGTCACCCATCTGTTCCTGCAGGGGGCTTCGGAGTCCCATTGATTGCGGTTGGGTTGCTGGAAATCCTGCCTATGTCAGGCTCAGAGCTGGAGCTGAGGCGGGTCTTAAGCTGGTCTTAAGCCTCTTGACAAACAGCAACGCCAGCCCGTCAATCAGGTCAGCTAAGTGCCTTATTGTGAATAACACTTGTCCTTCATGAATTCAAAAACTAGTTATCAAATAATTCACCACTATATCGTTTGTGTGGATTGAGACATGAGCTAATCAGACCCATTTCTTGGTTTGAACCAGGCAGTAAACATGTTCATTGTAAAAACAGGTTGGGGGCGCAGTGGTTAGTGCGCGCATCCCATGTATGGAGGCTGTAGTCCTATCTCTACATTAAAAAGGCACAAAAGCCCAAAAATAAATCTTTGAAAAAAAAAAAATGTATGGGGCGTGTATTCTGTGACTTTGTTGCTTCTGCAGCCGGCCTCAAGCGGACACTCGAACTGCAGGATTTTGCGGCTCGCGTCAAACCTACATTTATATTAGAGTGGAAACACGGCGTGAACATAACACTGAAATATGATCTACTTTTAAGTGTGTTCAAGTCCAATATTTACTCTGCTGATCTCTACCAACTCTAATATCTCGCTCCTAAGCTGCTAAATGCTCACTACGTCTATCAGCTAGAGTCTAACTGCATCCGTCTGCTGTATGGAACTGTACAGTGGGAACACAGACGGACACCGAGTCTTTGTTCGTTCATATTGACTCCATAGTGATGGCTTAATATTGGTGCCACAGTCTGTGAATTTACTTTGCATTACAGCGATGTGGAAGCACGCCGTGTAGAGACACACGCAGTGCTGCTTTCCCCTGCTGTCCCCGCTGATCAGTCTCGTCCCTTCAACACCTTTTTTTTTTTTTTTACTACTTCCGAGAACAGTACAGAAGGACAATCACACCCCCCCCACCCCCTTTACACCTCCCTGACATTCACAGTAAAGGCGAGGCGTCACAGAGGCGTAGATATCATGGACAGTCTGAATCGGGTGAGTGGGAGGAGTTGTGTGTCTATTTTGTGGATTCCTGACAAAAAATGATTTCATTGAGACTTCAATCAATTTGGGCTGAAGTTAAACCATCCTAGTTTCACAAAATAAACAAAAAGACAACAACTTTTCCTTCCATGAAAACTGAAGCAGGTGACCTGAAATCTTTCTTCAAAGAACGCCCGTAGACAATAAAAGAGCACCTTCTTTTGTTCGATGCTTTTGTTACCGTCCTATCTTCCCAGAACAGCTCCTGTACATTTGTGGCAGTGCACAACGAAACGGTTCAAGTCCAGTAATGTCTGAAGCCATTCTGCTTTTATTTCCTAGAACTCTCTTTTGTCCAGTGGTATCTAAGAGGTTTTGTGAACACTGCGTCTGTTTGCCTCATTGTTTCCTCCCGCCTTGTTCCTGTAATAGGAGGAGGTGGATCTCCTCTGTCCTCGGGCTACCAACGAACAATCGCCTCATCAATTACACATTACAGGGCTGAGCAGGAACACAAACACACACAAGCATGTGCGCCATTGAAGTTTAGAGTTACAAGAGCTTTTCCATTGATCTCAAGTAAAAAAAAAAAAAATGCTGCCCGCAACTCCACCCTGACCTCTGTGCACCTGTGGAGGGTAGAAACTGTAAAGACTGAAGGCACGAAGAAAAGATATCGAAACTGCTTAGATCTGCTGTCGTTTTGTATTTGATGGGAAATCTTTTGACGCTCATGAAACCAAAAAATGTGTCTATTTGTTTCCTCCTTATAGACACTACGGGCTTCAAACAAGTAGAGGGTGCAAATCTTTCTATGACAGAAACACAAAAAATACAGGACAAACAACAATGGGATCCATACAAACAACCATGGCTTGTCTCTCTGATTGGTGGTGACTAAGCGTCTCCTGCGAGGTGTCCCTGTAAGAGCCATCTCTGTCATTAAGATCATTTTACCTGGATGGCTGTCCGGCCACTTGGCGAATCCCCCCACCAACCGATCCTGCGTGGAGAGGATGAAGCTCCTGTTCTTGTCAAAGTTTGTGTACTGGAACACATCTAAGAGCTGGGAGAGCAGAGAGGGAGGAAAGGAGTCGACAAAGGAGAAGTTTTCGATGTGACATTTGGAGAAGCAAATTTAATAAATCATTTTGATGGTAATGACAGAGGGGCTCGTCATTTTCAATTTATTGTTGTCATGGTTTAATATACATTACGGGTTCAATGCCGACGGTAATACTTACAGCTTACGCAAGAATTCAGAGACCACTGCAAAAATATTTAGATTTCTACATCACTGTGTTACAACAAATCTAAGTTTAAGCAAAAATAAGAAATGTATTTGGGATCTTATTCTTTAACATATTTTCACATTTATTCTTCTCAGCGATTGTTACCGGTTTGTTTTCATATTTTTAATGCGTTCTTTTAATGTTATGTTTCTCTTTGTCGTGATGCTTCTGAAGTCTCGTGTGAAGCACTTTGAGTTGCTTTGTTGTTGAAATGTTCTTTATAAATCCGGGTTATGTAAAACGGGCGACAGAAGCTCAGTCTGTAGGGACTAGGGTTGGGAACCGGAGGGTCGCCGGTGCGGATCAAGTCTGGAAATTGCTCTGGTAGCTGGAGAGGTGCCAGTTCACTTCCTGAGCACTACCGAGGTGCCTTTGAGCAAGGCACTAGATGTACCTGTAGTTAAATTCAACCGATACTGCAAAATAATGGCTCAGATGCTGATTTAAAGGCAATTTGGAGTTTTCTCACATTTTTAAACAGACCACTATAAAAAAATATTCCAACAAATATAAGAACCAGAGGAAAATATTTTTTAAAGGATCTCTAAATTTTTCCCAGAGCTGTATATCATTTGTTTTCCCCACAGAGTGTCACTGAAATCAATAACCAAACCCTTCATACTCTCTTTCTGTGAAATACAAGGGCAGAAAATATTGAGTGCAAGAGTTTGCCACTTCACTACTGACATATAGAAATATTTTGTGTGAGTGTTCATATTTTTGTCCCTGTGGCACACTTCTGACCCAGAAATTCACAGTTTTCGTGCATTGTGTTTGACGAAGAGTGTGAGGGTGTGTGTGTGTGTGTGTCCTCGGCTTACTCATAGCTGTTTGCTGTTTAGCTCAGCTCACAGTTTGAAGATCATGTGTCTATGCATGTACCTCTGGCACAGTGATGACCCACATGCTGAAAGGTTTGCTCACACGTTTTGCATGTTGTGTGGTTGTGCATGTGTGTGAATAACCCAGTGCATTAGACAGCAGGAGTACACACAGTGCTGCTTAGAAAAAAAAAAAGTGAACAGAGAAGTTCTGAAAAGTGCATGCCATTGCACTTTTCAAAATCTTACCCATTCTGCTTTCCCTTGAATGACAAAATGGTACAAAAAGGTGCAGAGTTAAACTGCTGAAGAGCACTAAACATGTTGCATGCATGCAGGAATGTGTACGTCGTGGCATGTGTGGGTCTGTGTACCTCCAGCGTAGCTCCAACCCAAAAGGAGTAGCATGTGTCTACAGGTTTGTTGGGCCGCCCATGGAAGCCGGTCTGCTGCCTCATGATGCACCAGCGCCGGATCCTGTCCAGCTCCCGCTGACTCAGCGCCTCCTCCAGGCGACCCATCAGGCACAGAGAGGCTATGGAACAGTAAGTCCAGCCACCTGGACACACAAGAGACAGAGACAGAGCATGACACTCACATACTGTGGATATGGATCATTCATTACAGTAATGACTCCAGTTAAAGTGAGAAGGCTTTTCTGACCATGTGTTCATATTTAAAAAAAAAAAGCACTTCCAGTGTACCTCACATTGATCATAGATGATTATAGAGCACTACAGTGAAAACAGAGTGTGTGTGTGGGCCCCCTTTCGAAACCAAATACTTGATGGCATGCTGCTGCTCTCACTGTTTACTTTTCCTTGAAAAGAATCAAAACATGGATCAACTTTCTGAATTTGAAATACTGTTTACCAGTGAAGGAAATAGCTCAATTGTTACACTTTCTTACATGCTAAGTAAAGACTTTGAGGGTTTAAAGATAACTCAGGTGCAGAGGGGTTAGGCAAAATATGGAGAGGATAATATATTGTCGTCCTGACTTGTACATTACAATTATCGAAACAATACAAACAGAGTACAAAAAAGGCCCTCTTTCAGATTTCCTCGTCAATTGAAGTCATCATGTCACTGCTGGTGGTCCTTCCTTACGACGTGAACGGGGGTGATGTGAACAGGAGTTAACTGATATTCGAGCTGGGCAATTAATCAAGGTTCAATGACAATTCAGATTTTGTCTTCCCGCAGTCATGAAAACGAGATTATCAAAGATTAAACGGTTACTGCGCTGCGTGCCGTATTGCGCTCGTTTTGTCCATAGGTTTTTGTCATGTGTTTGTTGGTATATTTCGACCACAGGAGTACATCAGCACGACCTCAAAAACAACCACATGCGAGTGGTTTAACCAGTAACGTATGTTCAGGTGCTGAATCCACGGCGTCTTTGCAGCTGGACTCATACAAACACGATCGTGCTCACAGATTGCTGACAGGCTGTTATCGGTGCAGCAGCCACACGCAAGCAGCTATCCATCACTCTCTTCAACCGGCTGTCAACTGCTTTTAGTATCACCCATCACCATGCCTTTAACTCATTCTTAAACACTATCACCATCACCGGCTGCTTATCTGTTCATGTGCTGTGTTTATGTGACGGGGAGCGAGACAAAGACAAGGTGGGACGAGGTGTAAATCTGCCAAAGCTCGACACTTGCCATCCGATCATTCACGTCTAGCTCTCTGTCTGCAGGACGCAGATCACAGGGGATAAATATAAATCTGGATCGAGCACAAAGGGGGGCAATCCAAAAGCATTTACTCTAACAGTAGGTGTCATGATAACATAATTATATACACTGAACAAAAATAAAGAATACATGGAAAGCAACAATTATGAATTTTGCTGAAGTGTGTTGAAAGGAAAAGCGTTTCTTCCTCTTAAGAAAACAGTTCATAGCCTGAAGAAGAGGAAATGAAAAAACTGAACTACAGAAAAAGGCTCAAACACAATTATCTGCAAAAAAAAAAAAAAAAAAAAGGGAGAAAAATCAGCACACAGTGTGGGAGGTCTCTGTGCTGAACAAACACGCTAGGATGGATAATGTGCATCTTCTGCACATCTGTCCTGATGCGTAAGCAGCTCTCAGACACAGAGTTGGCTCGCATGAAGAAGAGAGCAGGAGCCTGTAATCACTCTGAACTCCTGCAGGAAGGAAATTATCAATAGACAGTCTGATACCAAGTAAACCAAAAATGCAAGCTCCACCTTTTTTTTAAAAAGGTGACTACAGATGTGGCCTAAGCAGTGCTCTGAAATCTGTGTTAAATGTGTGTGCGTAGGAGGAAGGCTTTTGTGTCTGAATAATAAGGTTTAATTTGAGAGGGGGTGGGATTATAAATCTACAGAGATGGATTTTATTGGCTAATCCTTTAAACCAGTTAGTCCCATCAGTCACTTTCATGCCCTCTACCATGACATCGCCAACACACTCATACACACGTTGATCTGGTAGGAACCCTTTGCCTTCCAAAGTAGGAACGATATTAAATAAATAAATCAGATATTAAAAATCAGGGCTGCAGAGTGCATCAGTTTCTATTTCTCTTCTTCGACATGACTAACCATTCCCTTGAAGCGCACACACAGCCTTTGAAGTCACATTTCTGATATCAGAAACAAAAAGGTCGAAAGCATTTCAGGATGATTCTACTCACCGTGTGACTCTCGCCCAGCTCCCTGGCCAAACCCGCTGTCGTACGACTGTGCAGAGAACAGAAAAAAAAAGCCATTGAATTATACGAGTTGTATAATCTGGAAAGAAAGGCCGGTAATGTGAGCATGGGAAGTGATAAGTATGAAAAAAAGAGTTCATGTAAAGATGTCACCATAGAAGAATGTCTGCCCAGCTGTTACAACGTGATTTGTAATTTACAGAACAGATTAAATGTGATGGATCCTTTTAAAAATGCGTCCCGATGCTCATTTCACCTTAATGGCAAACTAACTTAACTAACTCTTGGCACCACTCACTTCTCATCTGCTCGCCAGCAGCTCGCTGTTAGCCCGAGTCTATCCCACCAGCATGGAGGTGCGTTTCTGGGACTCTAGTGACTTGAACTCTGCCTCTGTGAGTTTCCACCTGTTATTTCTGCACGGTCAATGTGAACCGGCTTCAACTGTACTCGGCCATGACTCCGCAGCTTCGGCCAGGCCTGCGATGTGGAGTTTGTTTTATTTATTTTTTTCCAGCTTCTGTGTTTGTGGGCCCCACAAGTTTAATAGTAAACACTTCTTAAAGGTCTTAAAGAGCTCTTTTGGTGGTTAATATTAACAGAGGTATTTTGTGGCAAAATTCATTGACAGTGAATAATACTATAACAAAGTTAAAGGGACATTACATTGAATCAACTGATCCTAAGAATTAAAACAGGATAATAATTTAACATTGAAATTAAAGTTGCCGTGTCACAAAGGTAACCAAGTATCTAAAAACATAAATAGAGGGTTAACTAACACACATAAAGGCCCTGACACACCAAGCAGACGGCAAAGAGCTAATGGCTGAACGAAGGCCGACTGTGGTGACTCACGACGCCTTTGGCTTGGCCAAAAAGTTGCACTTTGTGCAAAGACTACAGCCAACGGACAACCAGCACATACGTTCTGCACATGGGTGAGAGGAAACAACTCTCCATGCCAGCAGGCGGTGGTAGTCCGTTGTTATGATACGAGAAGACCATTTTTACGTCGCTGTCACATCGCACCACTCATATTATAGGTAGCCTACTAATCGAGAATAAAGTCTGAATAATGTAAAGTTTGTTAGTTTCTCTACAGCTGCAGCTATAACACTTTTACACATTTTAGAGCTTCTCTATTTCTAAACTTTCATTCAACTTTAAAATGATTGTGTTAAGTTGTTTTGGTTCTGCATGTATTCTACTTTTGATTCAGTCTTCACAGACTTTATTGTAGGAGACACCCAAACAAAGAAAGAAGAAAAAAAAAAAAGGTTCCTAAAAATATATCGGCTGTAAAACAGGAAATCTTGCCAGGAAAGCAGTTCATCGTGAATCCCAGGAGTTCAACTACTGACATGATTGAGGCCCTGTATGCTTGTTGGTCTTGTCTGATCCTAACTATAACAATAAGGTCAGTGAAATGATACCTGGCGTCACTCAAAGTGAAACTTCAGTGTGGCTGGTTATCTTGTCTCCTGATCCAGACTGTTTCTGCTCAGAGCTGTTTGCTCACAAACTACTAGCTTGGGCTGCCAAAGACATTTCTGGACTTCAAACAGCAGCAATGTGCATGTGGCAGGTTGATAAATACACTTCACACACTCCTCTCCTCTCTCTCTCATCGTTGTCTATGAGAGAGTAACAGCTAAAACACTGAAGTCTGTGTACAACTTAAAAGCAACTGTATGTCTAGACACCCTCTGGGTGAAACTAAGAATGAGCTGAATTCTAAAGATGAACCCCTGATACCTCTGCTCTGCTCTGGGGACTTTAATTGTCAGGGTAACTATGACAACAAGCTTTGACTTGAGTCTTACCCTCGTCACTTAGAAAAACAAACACTGAGGTTAAAGTAAAGGTTGAATTAAACATCAGTCTACAGTAAGACTAAAATATCCCACATCATAAACTTCAAACATGTTGTTTTCCTCCTGTTGGGAGGCAATATCTGCGCTACAGCTACAAGACCAATGATTCACTCACTGCTCATCAATTATAAATGAAGCATTTCCAGGCAGAGTGCCACCTACTGAGGGTGGGTGGCCTATTCTTCCCATTCGAGTGTAGAGGAACAGCACTGAATGGTGCAGAAACAGAGGTTGCACCATTAGGGGGCACAGTCCTTCTGGCCTATGCTGCAGCAGTCATGATATTTAACCATGCAGGAGTGCAGCAAAAACTCTTAGGCTGATTTTTAATCTTTGATAAAAATACGAGTAAAAAAATCAAACCAACATTGTGCTTGTTTGGATAACACAGAAACAAAAACAGAAGTAGTGAGCACCAAATATTGATTCATTTCTTGTTTTTGATGCCCAAACTCCTACACAGACATGTTGGCAACGTTTTAAATAATCCCCTCTCGGACTCACCAAACTTCCCCTGATGTACTCGATGGCCTTTTGGATGTCCATGCCTGACCAGTCATCCAGCATGTAACAGATACTGGCTGCACAATAGATAAACCGTATGTCATTTTCACTTCCCTCTGGCACTGCGTAGAAACTGCAAACAACAACAGGAAAGTTACGCAAACAGTGGAAAATAAGCTCAATGCCACAGCAGGTTGTAGAATTCCAGTCACATCGTGTCTACAATTAAAAAATAACAGCGCAAGCTCAAATACATTTATTTGTGAATATGTTGTTTAATATGTCGGACATGAGACTCACGATTAATGTGTGGTTGTCTGGTTTGTCTGTTTGGGTGTGTGAACATGCACCAACATCAGTTAATGTCATTCTGAATTAAGACAGCTGGTGCTCACATGTCCTCAGGTGTATTGAGTCAGAGTGAAAGTGGCAGGGTAAGTCAGGGTGTGAGTGCAGTGTGTGAGAGAGTGTGTGTGTGAGTGTGTGTGTGTGTGTGTGTGTGTGTGTGTGTGTGTGTGTGTGTGTGTGTGTGTGTGTGTGTGTGTGTGTGTGTGTGTTCACTGACCTGCCATCCTCCAGCTGCAGTGCTCTTAGACCAGCTAGACAAGCCTGCTTGTTCACCCTGCTCAGGTCGTCTCCCAGTATCAGCAGGGAGCACAGCCCAGTGTAAGTCATGGCTACATGGCCACTGTCGTATGGATGGAGCACACCTGGACCCTGCAGATATATATATATATATATATATATATATATTAAAATGATTAATACAAAAAACACCTCACTGTGGTTACTATAAACACACCTGGAGAAATTAAATTGTTTACAAAATTATGCAACAAGATAAATCAAGTATTTATATCTGTCTAAAACTTTAGATTGCACAAAAATCAAAGTCAATAAAAGGCATTAGACATCTATAACAATGACTGTTACTGCATCAAAAGCCCCTGTAGTGAAGGAACTGAGTGATAAAATGTTTAAAAGGGACAGCTTGTTTTTTCTGGATTGGGGTTGTAGGAGGTACTTGTCACCTTGTAGTGGTAGCAGGCATGGAAGCGAGGCTATAAATCATTGCAAACAGTAATGTAGCCATTTTGAAAGTATGCTATATTGTAGCCTAACAAAGCACTGCTTCTGATCATGTCTCTCAATAAAAGGGATCTTTCTGACATACAGATCCTTTGACTTATACACTTATTACTGATAAGTACTTCCTACAACCCAACCTCAGGAAAATGAGATCATTTAATGTCAATGGACAATTTGAGGTAAAATATGATTTTGGAATGGACAGGATGTTGAAGTAAATGAAGAATATCTGTGCTGCAAAGGAAGGGTTGCATCATCTTTTACATATCTGACACGATGTTGGGTTAAACGAGGGGTTAGTGAGGGGGAGGGGCAGTACCTTAGTGCTGTAAGGAATTCCAATATGGGACGATCCTCGAAACCCACAACGACTTAGGTTAGACTCTGGGGGGGAATAAGAGGAGGAGGGCAGGAAGAGAAGAAAGTAAACACCAAGAGAAACATGAACATGACAACTCTGCTCTGCTGTCTCACAAACCAGGTCTTGTTCTATTGACCTTCAAGCAGAGTGCTGCGACAACGCTCAGCCTGCTCAGAAGCTGCGCTGCTGCCATCTACTGGCAACGATCGAAACACATTACCCTCAGCAGAGCACACCGAACATGTCAAAATGAATAAAATACAGCTCAAGAAATGTTATGTGTCACACAGTATAAAAAAAAAACAGACAAAGACCTTTGTGACAAAATCATTTCTGACTGACAGCCTGAAAATATAGTGATCATATGACATTTCATTCTCTCTCAATCATCACTTTATACTTTTATAATTAGTCAAGATCTGCATGACACATGTATTTTGAAGTTACTAATGTTGTAATCAAAACTGTCTGCTAAACACTTTTTGATTTTAAAGTAGCCACAACAACATCAGTGACAGACGTCTCCTGGCACGGATGAAAGCACAACTTTTCACATTAATCATCCTGATAAAAACAGATGACACGTTCAACCCACCTGTGCTAAATTGGAGAGCAACACGCCCATCAACAACTGTTCAAAGTCTCAACAGCCCAACTAATAACGTCTTTCAGTGTTGACGATGCAGTCGGAAGAGTCTCTAAAGTTGGACTTTCACAGTTAATGGAAGAAAAACAGACAGACACCAAACATACGGCAGATGCATGACTGAGACCAATCAAGCACGGCTATCCCGACATGATTTCTGTGGTTGTTTTGAATAATTTACTGACTGGGCATCTAAACAGATGGCACACAGTGACTCGTTAGAGCTAGAAACAACAAGTCATTAAATATTTAGAGTCAAACTTTTCTTAATGACGAGAGGAGCAGGAGATGAAATAGTCTGAACGAGGAGGACACCTGGAGGCCAATATCTGTTCAGACATTTTTTATTTTTTTTTATTTTAAATCTCATTGGCAGGAAACTTAACTACATGGTGCAGCCTCTATTTCACCCCGATGAAACTAAAAACCCAAACAAACACAGCCCACAACATTGACATAATGACATCATCCCAATGAAAATGTTTGCCTTGAGTGTGTCAGCCCTTACTTTTTTCACATTCAACGGCTTAAAGATGATAAATGTCAAAAGTTGGGTCCCCCCCCTCCCTCTCCCTCTTTCTGTTCGCACTTGGCAGCAGTAACATACAGACACCATCGTATCAGCTTAATTCGCTCCTCACCTCTCTGATTGTATTCCCTGTGCGCTGCATTGCGAGAGTATTTTTCATTATTGTCTTCTTTACTACCACTTAGGAAAAGAGTAACGATGCAGCCACTTGATGTCACTACAGAGAGCTCATTTCAGTGTTTACAACAACGGAAGCCTATGTGTGATATTCATATCTTCTCATATTGTAGAAATCTAGCTTGTTTTTTTTTTCTAAGACATGCATAGAAAACCTAACAGTCTTGATCTAATAAGGTCAACCTGTCTTAGTATGCAGGTTTCTCTTTAACTACAGGGGTGCATAGAGAAAGGACTGAGATCTAATCACTCAGGCTGCTTATAGAGATGTTCTGGGACACTGTATTTCTAACCCGAGCTTTTCAAATTAATTATCATAGACAGCTTCTCTCTTCTGTCTTTCTTGAATGCTGGGATTTCCTGTCAATTAGGCAACACCGGGGGGGGGGGGACGAGACTGATCCGTGCAGATGATGTCAACTTCATTTTCTTCCAGCCCTGAGCGTCAGAGGTGATGTCTAACTTATTTCTAACATGCTTCTGATTTGCAGCGGAAAGTGTTAAAGTTATAGGACTTACGATCCTCTGTGGGCAAAACCTGAAGCGAGTAGATCCACTCAATCATGACGTTTCTATCGATCACATCCAGAGCGTCCAACACATCCAGGCCAGACAGGGCAAAGAATATGATAGTTAACCTGGAGAGAAGGAGGATAGCATTCTTATTAATGTGTGACACATCACCTATCAAACCTACAATAATAACAGCTGTACTTCTATATCACCTTACAAAAACAGAGAGTGCTTTACAAACGGATTAAAAACAGAAACATCAACAATATACAAAACAGATTTAACTAAAGCGAGTCAAAACAAATAGTGAACAGTGTCCACACATCTGAAACCCAAAGGCAGAGCATTTGGAAGTGTTGGCGCTACGACCTTCAAAGTGAAGTCTCCCTTTGTCTTTAGTCTGGAGTGTGGAACTACTAGAAAACCCCAGATCAGAGGATCTACAGTAAAGAGATCTGTTGGGACTGTAAGGTCGTAGAAATTCTGTGAGGTAGGCCGGGAGTCTTGAATTGCACTCTGAAATGTATGGAAAGCCAGTGTATAAAAAAAAAAAAACAGAATAGGGGTTATATGTGAGCTTTTAGGAGGACCTGTTGTACTAGTTGTGAATGGTGAAGGGATGTTTCACTAAGAAGGGTTGTTTCTGTTGCAGTAATCCAGACGGGGGAGGGCATGAATGATCATCTTCATCTGAGCTGAGGGAAACAACGGGCTTAAACAAGAAGCAGAATAAGGTATTCATGGTCATATCTATTTAACAGTTCAGAGGAAGTAAACAGCAACATAAAAAAATAAATAAAAATAAAAACATACTCAGATCTATGACCTAAGAAACAGACTCATTGCTTGAGTTCAGCTCGTAAAGGCAGAACAATAAGATAATTTAAGAGTACAAATGAACACTGTGTGAGGCTTTTCCGGGACTATTTGCTTGAGGTCACATTTTTGGATAATAAAAACTCGTTTCTACAATCTATCATTTCGAAGTTAAGCCCTTTAGTTCCCCTTTTTTCCAACTGAACAAACTGTGGTAACTTTGTGTCGTGTGTGACGTCAGCAGGTGTTTCGCTGTAACGAGTGACCCTGTTAACTGGTGTCCTCCAACAACAGCGCGTCTGATGCTGTCCTAAATACAACAGCCACTGGAAACGTTAGGATTGTAAATGTCTTAGTGAAGGCCTCTTTGTTAATTTGTTTACTTAAACCATCAAAATATAAATCAGAAGATACGACACACACACACACACACACACACACACACACACACACACACACACACACACACACACACACACACACACACACACACACACACACACACACACACACACACACACACACACACACACACACACACACACACACACACACACACACACACACACACACACACACACACACACACACACACACACACACACACACACACACACACACACACACACACACAGGGACTTCAGAGGACCGCTGCTTATTCTCCGTTTTCGACCGCCGTTGTTGTTGTTGCTACGACAACCACGGGGTCTCCGATTAGCAGGGTCACGTATTCATGCAGAACACCACAAAGCGAAGTGTCACTTTGCTTCATTTAAACACGGTTGGTGTAGCACAGCTAGCTCGGATGCTAGTCAACTTATTCAACAAAAACACATGAATCAGGCCGTTCGTTTTTAATTCCAGTGAAATTACCTGGTTGTTTCGAGCGAGGCGTACCGCTCGGGTAACACCTGCAGTGTTCTCTGGAAGAACCGAACATGTCGATCTCTTAAAAAGTCTATTTGCTCAAATTCTTCAAACTGGCTCTCCTCTTCCGCCATCTTTGAATCCGCACCTATGAGGGATCTTCTTCTTCTTCGTCTTCTTTGGTTTTAATGGCGGTTGTCACTCAGAGTGTCGCGCTACCGCCCACTAGTGGAGAAGAAATGCTGCTTTTTTTTCTTTGTCCTGTTTGAATGACAATTAAAATAATATATAAATGAAAATACCTCTCTCCCCATCCTCTTACAAACTAGAGAGATGCAGGGCTGAGCTCTACTTAGACAAACATTGCTCCTCACATGTGTAATTAATTATTTTCCCCTGCTGCTGTGAGGCTTGTAGCACAGGACATTAAGATGGGAAGGAAGTACTTCACACCTCACAGTGCAATACAAGTGTGCAATGTTAACCTTAAAAACAAAAAACAGTGCAATTATATAATGTGAAAAATGTGTGCAATAACCTCAGGTGCAAAAAGAAATGTAGAAAGTTAGAGACAAGAAAACACATTTATGTTTTCATTTCATTCTAGTGTTCCCCTTTGTTATTTTTTTTGTATTATATCTTTGCTTTAATACAGTGTATAGCTTCTGTACAGTTTATTTTAAATCACTTAGCTGTTACTACAACTTATTTATTTTTACTTTTTTTGCACTTTTCTACTCTTTTTTTTTTCTTATAATGCTATTCTATTTTATTTATAATTTTGAATTTAGAATTTCAATGTACCTGTACTGTCCTGTACCTGTGCAAATGGCAATAAACATCTATTCTATTCTAAAGCAGTGAATACCTAACACCAGTGGTGGAGAGCAGGATATACACAGGTATACGGAGTGTACCCACTTATGTTTCAGTCTCCATAGGGTATACCCACTTCTAGATCTCCTCTGACTCACACCATTGGTTGATTGACAATATTCAGTTTGCAGCATTTTTCCCCCTAATGGTGACGGGACGACCCTCCCTACTCTGTCTCTAATCGACTCGTACGTACTAACTGAATGTGCGTGAGTATTCTTACATGTCACTGTTTATAACGAAGGCCGTTTTTCCTCTGCTGGACAGGACACTCCCAACACATTTTGGGGGGAAGTTAAGAGTATACCCACTTCTTCAGGCACCACTACACCACTGTCTAACACTAATTGTTAACAGTATACCATTATAACAAAGCAAACACCACAGATCACAGGAGAGGAAAAAATAGCTTTAATTGACAAGCCTTTATTTACAAAGAACAACAGATTCATAAAACTTAGTGAACTTTAGATATAGATTGCAGAAACACACATTCGATCCAAATAAATACACAACATTGCGTTACAATCCTATTTCCATTTTTTTAAATATAGTCTAATATCTTGGAAAACTGCATTGAATGCATTCCAGGGCGGCTCAGTTTTCTCTTTTTGGTGCTTATCATAGGCCTTGTCTCCAAGTGGGAACAGCTCTGCAACAAATTGACAGGAAGTTATATATTCATATGCAAACAATCCCCTTAATATATAAATGTGACGTAGTGATTGTGGAAACGTGAAAATGAAGGCTAATCAAACCTGTGAAACATCTGGAGCACAGGCCCTCCCCCTGAAGGTCCGATGTTTTTCATTCGCTCCTTCCATCCCTGTGTGGGTCGAGTGAGCCTGGAGGCGTCTCTGCTGACGTGACCGTCCACCTGAATAAGGGACAAAAGAAACCATCAACCTGAGCGTTTAAAAAGATTTACATAGTTTGTGGATCAAATGTCCTCCTAACCTTCTCCTTTAACTTAGCAGCGATTCTCATTTGTCTCTCCTCCTCCTCTTTTTCCCTCAGCTGTTTCTCCTGAAGCTTTGCCTCCACCTTCTGAAGATCCTGCAACAAGAGTCAGCGACATGCTTTGTATTAACTCAGTGACGACTTCATATATCTACCTTGATGTTATAGCAACATCAAGTGATTCAATTGCAAATCCTTTAACATCTACAATCCATCATTTCAAATTGGCGACACCAGGCACACAGACGTTAAAACAGACAAATAACTGGTCTTGTGTCTCTCTTTGATTTACAGACTTCGTACCCTTTCATTAAAGCGCTTGATCCCCTTTGTTGCCGCCTTCCTTCTCTCATCCATTTCCCTCTGTTCCTCCTCTCTCCTCCTCCTCTCCTGCTCCTGCTCATCCTCTCTCCTAAGGCGTAGCTGCTCCTCGATGGTCAGCTTCACTTCCAGCTGGCGGCGGCGCTCTTCCTAAAGGGTAAAAGTTCAAACATGTTGTGGACACCTGTTCACTCCAACTACAAATAAACACAGCGCTTCACAAATCCACAAAACTCCTGAAAATACATTTCCTGAATGTTTTCAAGTTGAGCTGCACCTTTGAACGCCATCAGCCAAACTGTACAAACCTTCATTATCTAGACTTTTTTTTCCTGGCAGCTAGAGTTAAATCTCCTCAAGAAGTCGGGGTGAGCCGATTTGTGTGAACACAGAAGGTAATATTCAGGAATATGCAACTGGTGCAGGACAGGTGGGATCTATGTGAGCATAATGAAGCTTCTTCCTCGAATAAACCGGCAAAACGAGTAAAGTTTGATATGATTTTGGAACAAACGAGTCACCTTTAAAACCCCACTCGAGACTCTCAGTGGCATTTATCGATCTTTTAGTGCCTAAAGTGATTTTATCATTGCCCCGTTTTTGTCATTCCTTATGCCATGCCTCCTCGGACTCTATCCCACAGGGGATCCTCCACTGAGAAACTCAGAGAGATTACATGGGCAGGCCGTTCTGAAATGTACTTAATTTTCAGGAGAGCATGTTTGAAAAGCGCTACACAGCACTCTTAAACACACATGCGCAACAACACCTTTGCTTGTCTCCTCTTTTGTATCTCCTCAGCCACTCTCTGCCTCTCCTCCTCTTCTTCATTCCTTCTCCTCTCTTCCCTCCACTCCTCCAGCTGACGCGCCGTCTCCCTCCTCTCCTCCTCAGTCCTGACACAAACAACAACACAAAGTGACAACAAAGTGATGAGCAAACACAGCCACCAAATTCCCCTAATCCAGGGTGACCAATCAAACACTTACATGCTTATTAGACCTGGTGGGTTACAATGACCTACATATTATGAATTTGACAGCTTTAGTCCCAAAATCAATGTCTGCTCCACTTCTTCTCTCTGTAATTTATTCTGCTCCACTTCTGACTCACTTGTGTAGGTGGGCCTGGCTCCTGGCCTCCTTCTCCTTCTCCTTCCTTTCCGCCTCCTCCGCTTCTTCCTGACTCTGTATCCTTGTCTGGCGTCGCTGATGCTTGATTGCTCTCCACCTCTGAATAGCCTACATAATGTTTGACGTAGGGATTAAAATAGAAATCAGCAAGGAATTTGAAGTCAGTGCAAAAGCTTCAGAAACAAGTGTTATGAACCTCAGTTGATAGGATATTTATACAGAATGAAGAGGGAGACGGAATACATGTGTAGAAACACTGCACACTTTACATTTAATTCATTATTAAGGTTGAATTACCAATCTGTGTTTTTGTCACTTTTTTCTTTTAGCTTTCAAAGTGGAAAAGCAAATGTGTAATCTTCTCATAGTGATGCAGGTATTCTTTGACAGATCACAAGCAAGATACAACATACTCAAACAGCTAATGGTTACAAGTTAACAACACACTAACCAAGACCAAGACATACACAAGACCAGAGTGCTCCGAGACCGAGTCGAGACCAAGACCATAATATCACTGAAAAAATCATCAGCTTGTGTGCAGGGGGGCGTGTCACTCACTTAGCCCGAGATGGTTTATTTTAGGCTTTTGATGCCTTTATTTTGGAGACAGGACAGGGGATAGAGAGAGAGAGAGTACTGGGAATCATGCGTAAAGTAAAAGGAGCCACAGGTCGGATTCAAACCCAATTGGCGGACTACAGCCTCCGTACATGGGGGCACTCACACTAACCCTTACTCTACCAGCGCCCCAGGCTCATACATGTTTACAGTTGTCTACCTCTCTCTTTCGGTCCTGCAGGTAGATCAGTTCCTGATGCCAGTCCTCATGTTGCTCTATTTCCTCCCACGTCTTAGCAGGCAGGTACAGTTTGGCCTCTTTCCTGTAGGCTGGCTGCCCGCCGTGCTTCGTCCACACCTGCGGTTAAAACAGATTAGAGGGAATCAGACAGGAGACTTGGAGCGATCAAGATCTGGTGTCAGAACCGCCGACGCTGCCTGAAGCAAAGGGTGCTGAGTGACAGTGCACGATTGTGAATCACAGCACTAGACATCCAGATGTGATGACAGTAATGTCTTACTTTAAGAAAGGCTTGGTGGTCATACTGGTCCCAGCCTCCATATTGGCCTCCTGTCTTCTGAAGGAAGACCTCGAGTGCTCTGACCTCAGCAGGGAGGTCTCTGTCAGGGAGTTTCATCTGATGGAAAAGATAATGTATGAGTATTTATATTTATATTTATGCGTTGACCTTTTCCACCGTTTGAGACTAATAAGAAACACATTTTCTTCTGATTTCTCGCTCCTGATGGACAACAGAGAGACCAGGGCGGGACAAACCTTAACAGTGGGAGCTGCGTGGTGTTTGGCTTCATTTGTTTGGACAGCAAGGCTCCAGTTTTCAATCTTTTTCTCGCACGCCGTGATCTCCTGTCTGCACGTCCGCTCCTCCTTGAAAAGTTCCTCGAAGCTGATCGGGCCAGGTCAAAACAAAAGACCAACGTCTTCTCATGTTTTCGTTACAGAACACGTATTCACATTTTAGAAGTTGTTTGTAAACTGTAACGTGGCCCCTTCCATATTTATCTTCATCTAAACATTTTTGTTTAATGAGTTTAATTATTATAAATGTGAGTTGTTGAAATGTAGAACTCTGTTTTCTTCGTGTTTAAAATCCACTCGATGAGTTAACAGTGATTGTAAAAGTGTTTTTGTTTTTAAGTGTAACATTTTAAAGGGCTTTCTTCTTTTCTCACTCCTCAGACTAGTGTGGCCTTCAGTTGTTTATTATCCTTCTACCTTGACCGTTGTTCCTCCTTTAGCGCGTTAATTGAGATTTCCACCTCGGACATGATCTCCTTCAGTCTCTCGATCACTGAGAACAAAATCAGAAATTACGTTTATTAAAACAATCTTATTTTCATGTTCTCGTATGAAACTGCAAGCAACATTTCTCGATCAATCAAGCTAGAAAATTAAAACCGATATCTTAAATTCATGTCTAAGTATTCATGTTTATGTTGACAGAAAAGTACAACTGGCTGTATCAGGAGGAAACACTGTTATAGTTTAAACTTACGCGCAGGAGTTGGCTTTACATCTGTCAGTTGTCTCTGAAATCTCCTCACACCGTTATGGATCTTCACCAGCTGCTTTTGAAGATTTATTTCTAAAGACAAAGATGGAACATCAGGACTATACATATTGTTTTCAAATCGAAGGGGTAAAGTGTTAAGGGTGGATATATATACGGTTGACTTCGTAGAGAATATGTGAGGATACTGTCGTGAAAAAAAAAAAAAAAAAGGACCCACTCTCAGCATTTCTTTGTGCCTCCATCTCTTTCTCACACTCGTCCAGCTCTCTACACACGTCTGTCCAGCCATTTCTTTTGCACTGTACACTCAGTGTCCTCTCCTTCTCCAACTTTTCAATCCTGTGAAGGAAAAGAGAACATAACTTTAGTGTTTATTATATAACTAAGATACATTATATGTATATAATACAATATTATATCATCACAAAGGTTTGATGTGATATGTGGCAGTGGTTTAGTCACTTCTAAAAGTATTTCAGCACACTTAATAATGTACAAAATGTTCTTGTTCTCATCTTATTATTTCATTTAAAGCGAAGTATAAAATGTGTATTCTTTCGTCCGTTTTACATTTGGTGACTCATTTCACTTAGCGGTCGCTTTAATCCAAAGCAACGTGATACATGATGATTTACAGAGCATAAGAAATTCTACATTGAATTACTTTTCTCAGTTTTCTTTTTTTAGATGTGATTATTGCAAATGCTGAAATTGCAGAAGATTAACTTGCAATTAACTGCACAGCCCTAATGAAAATGAGTTGATGCATTAGAAGAAGAAAATATACAAACACATGCAATGCAAAGAGCTGATCTTACACAAATTAAAATATTCCAAATTAAACTTAGACTCAGCTGTTAATACTAGCGTTTGGGGGCTTGCAGTCATAATCCATATGTTGTTCGTTGAGACGGTGACGGAGATTGTCAACATACTGTACTGATGCTGTTTTGATTAAAAGTGAAGGGTTTGACATTTTCAAATAATATGACTGTGATTGTCTCTACGTACTGCTTGCGGTTCCTCTCAGCTTCCTTTAGAAACTGTGCGGCCTTTTGTCTGATCAACCTGAGGTCCTCATTGTCTCTGCTGACCGAGGCTGGTGCACAGGGCTGGTAGTCACCTGAGTCTCCCTCCACCTGCTACAATGTGCAAAGAAATAAAGCGTATCATGGTAGGATATAAAGAAATAAAGAGTATCATGGTAGGATAGAAAGAAAGAAAGAGTATCATGGTAGGATAGAAAGAAATAAAGCGTATCATGGTAGGATAGAAAGAAATAAAGCGTATCATGGTAGGACATAAAGAAATAAAGCGTATCATGGTAGGATATAAAGATATAAAGAGTATCATGGTAGGACATAAAGAAATAAAGCGTATCATGGTAGGATAGAAAGAAATAAAGCGTATCATGGTAGGATAGAAAGAAATAAAGAGTATCATGGTAGGATAGAAAGAAATAAAGCGTATCATGGTAGGATATAAAGAAATAAAGAGTATCATGGTAGGATATAAAGATATAAAGAGAATCATGGTAGGATATAAAGATATAAAGAGTATCATGGTAGGATACAAAGATATAAAGAGTATCATGTAGGATATAAAGATATAAAGAGTATCATGGTGTAATACATAATAAAAAGCTGGTTTAAGGGTCATCATTTTTGCAACATCCTGAAATGCCTCGACGTCCGATAATGGAACCCGGCGTCCCTCCTAAGTCATAACAGGTTATTAACGTAACACCTGGTTTCCTGGATACCTGATATGCTGCGAGTCGACAGAAAACATACCATGAAAACACTCTCATCGTATTTAAATAACTTATCATTAGTGTACAAAGCTGTAGTGTACAGTAAGTCAGAGGCATATAACAAACCGTCTCCTCTTCTATAACTTAGATTATGACAGATAGCGTTGATGAAAACACGTTAAAACTAGCTCGTCAGAAGTCTGACAGTCTCCTGCTTTCACGCAAATGTAAAACCTGTTAAGATGATTTAGATTTGTCAGCTGATTGACATTTTTATGTAAGGAAAAAACAGTAAGGAAAACGTCTTTGTGGTATCTACCGAGCACTGTTTGGCCGCGCATCCAGTGGTTGCCAGGGTAGCCATGTTGGAGTGAAACTGTAAACACAAGAAAACTTTATTTAAACCACAGACTGCAGTTCGTGATTCAAACCAGCAGAGGGCGCTGCGGGTCATTGTTTGTTTATGTGTCGACATAAACCTGAAGGACTGGAATAAACTGAGGTTTTTATGTACTTTCCAAGTATTGGGAAGTGATGTGGACTAATTGTAAAAATAAATAGTGTTAACAATAAAGCTACTGAACTTTAAATTATTTAATTAATCATTCCAACAAGTTGCTTTCTAAAGATATAGAACAGTTCACTTTGTCACACGTAATATAAGCCAAATTCACCTGACTAGTCCAGACAAACAACATATTTTTAAATATTTCAAACAATATTAGGCCTGCATTGCTCGTAAGGAGTAAAAATGTACTCATACTATACTACTATACGCATCTACAAAGCCTTGAAAAGCTCTTTTTAATAAGCTTATATTACTACTTCTTTCTGTTTCTTACTGTTTCATTCCTCATGTTTTGTCTTTGTGTCATCCATTCATTGACTTCAAGATTTGAGAAAGAAAAGGTAATATCCAATTCCCTAAAAGGACATGATGATCATGGAGGCATGATGGGAGCCTAAACTAGTACATCTTAGAAACTGTTTCCATGACGACAGACTTACATTAACCAGAGTGCGTGTTGCTTAAACTACACATAACAGTTTGATTTTTTTTTTTTTATCACCACAATCTTTCCCTTCCCTCGACCAAAATGGCTGTTTATTATATAACTAAGACACATTATATGTATATGATACAATATTATATCATCACAAAGGTTTGATGTGATATGTGGCAGTGGTTTAGTCACTTCTAAAAGTATTTCAGCTCACTTATGTCCAAAATGTTCTTGTTTGTGAAGGTGAAAACCTTCCCCAGGTTGTGGGTATGTAGGCTAGTTAATTTTGTAGCAATGATATGTGATATGGCAATCGAGAATGAACTGATTTACTTAAATATAACATAAATATATTGTATTTTTTTATTCTTCTTCTTTCTTTCCTACCTTACAGCAACAAGTAGTTTCATGAGTACAGAAGCGTCTGACTCTGTCCTGCTACAACTAGATGGTTATAGAGTAACACACACACACACACATCCCAGGCCGTGGTTATTTCTGTCGCAGCCTTTGTATGACGGCCAACAGCTATAATTATTATGAGAGCTGGCCGAGCGACAGACAGAGAGAAAAGAGGAGAGAGAAAGAGATAGTGAGAGGGCGTATAAATAGAAACCTGAATCCATTATTGAGTGCAGAAATTGGGGATGGTCTCTCCCATGAGTGCAGAGGCAGAGTTGTCATCGTGACTTAAATAGACATCGCTCTCCTTAATGAAGAGTGTTACAATTTCCTGTCCTCGTCTTCGGCCGAGGGACTCAATTAATTTGATAAATGAGACAATCAGATGAACCTTCAGCTGGTTGTTTGCATCACAAATCCAACACAACATGCTGTTATAAAGTAGGGGATTTCCAGACTAGAAAAACGTACATGGCATATGAGTGTAAAGTTTAAAATAAACTATGACTCCTTCTCCTGTTGGCCTTTCTGAGAGATAAACTTTGACTTTTTCTTGATCTTTTGAGAAAGAGAAATAGATAAAAACATAGGTATTCCCTGACCTTTAAAGTGCTTTTTACAGCTGTCATTCCTGGAGATAGCTCTGTTGTGTTCATGTGATCTAAGTTAATTATCTTATGGTGCAACTCAAACATTGTAAAGGCTGCTTCCTACTCTTTTTCTTCATCATCATTTTTTGCCTGTGTTGCTTCTTGGATCTGTTGTTAATATGACTCTGTCTTCTCCTGCTCCCTGCCTCTCGCCTTCTCCTGAGTGTGAAAGACCGACTCAGGAAGATTGAGGGGCAGGCTGTCCTGAAATTCTCTATGCATGTTCAGGGGTGCATGTGTGAAAAGGGCTTCGGACTCTTGAAAAGTGGGCCTTTAATTTTTCTTCACTTCATTCGTTGGACAACCTGATAATTCATTTAAGCTTTTTGGCACTTTTTCCTCATGTAAGTCAAAGTGTTTCTTGCTCGGAGGAAAATCAAAGAACTCTTCTGTTGCATTGTGAGGGTTCAAGTCTATTTCAATAAAAGTTGACATGTCAACATGTCAAACATTTTCACAGGCCTATTGAAACTTCAGCTGACACAATGTTTCCCTGACCTGAGCTTATAAATGCAGAATTATTGGCAGGAGGGAAAGTGAGAAAGAATGAACGGCATGAACTTTGACTTTGGAGCTAATGGCCTGTTTGCAAATGTTATGAGACCTGATCTCTGTAAACTGAGAGGTCAGTTTGGCATTCATGGACGGAGGAACTCGGAGCTTCTACCCTGCCAGTTCTCTTTGAATTAGCCAGCTTTATTTATGACATGTGCCCCTCTGTTTATGTGTGTGTGGGAAGTTCACAGGGATCTACCCCTACAGCACAGGTGTGTGTGTGTTTTCATGGTCAACCTTTCTGTCCTGTTGCTAAAAAGGATTGTTTTCAGTCAACATGCCTGCCCTTTATATATACAAACACACATAAACTAAATGCATGACAAACATTGCAAACCTGCACCTACACACAAGCCAACCACACACACACACACACACACACACACACACACACACACACACACACACACACACACACACTGATGCACGGTTTGACACCTGACTAGTGATGTAATGGAATATGGTGTTAAAAAGCAACACGATCAGGCGACATCCTGCACATGTTGGGAATGTTAGACTGAGAAAGACAACTGCACATGCGTGTGTGTGAGTGTGTGTGTGTGTGTGTGTGTGTGTGTGTGTGTGTGTGTGTGTGTGTGTGTGTGTGTGTGTGTGTGTGTGTGTGTGTGTGTGTGTGTAGATATGAGTAAATGACTTGAGCGGTGTGTGTGGTAAGGGGCTTGGGAGGGCACAGGGTAAGTGATCAGTCTAATAACTTTTCCTTCTGTGTTTCATACGTGAACCGTATTCTGTTTCCTTCTGTGACGTCAAGACATCAACATTTCTCTTAATGCTGATTTATTGTACCGTCTCATGTAAGTGCTCTGCATGCCCAGCAACAAAAAAATACCTGTATATTTTTATTTCAGGGTGGAAATACGGACAGTTTACCTCTTCAGACCTGCTGCCTTCTCCTAAGTTCAATCACTCACTTTATAGTTTTACTAACTTGTTTCAAGTTAATTGCAATTTATTTACTTTTTAAGTGATCTTGTTTAGAGACACATGTTGTATTTTAATGTTTTCTTTTTCCTGCTTTACTTCATTCTTTTCATTTGATCACTGTTAATAATTGAAGCATAGTCAATCAATGAATCATGCTTCATATGTTTAGCACCTTTCATATAAATAAAATGCAATTTAAAGGACTTAACAGCCATTAACAAGACAGAACAGAAAATAATGTTACAACCAACGATGGATTTAGAAGAAAAGACTACTGCCCTAATAGCAATAAAATACATGTAATAAAAACAACAAAAGGGGTTAAAGGTAATTTAAAATAACAAAAATATAACTATTTAAAAAAAATAAAAAGGTAAAGATTAAGATTAATAAAAATAGTGATAAAATGAGAAGATAAAAAGCAGTTAAATGGTAAAAAGCCACACTGAGTAGATATGTTTTTAGTTTACGTTTAAAAGTAGGATTATTTCCTGCTGCTCTCAGGTCCTCCGGCAGACTGATCCAGTATCTCGGAGCGTAATGTCTGAAACCAGCATCACCAAATGTTTTCGTTCTCCTCCGTGGAACAGCTTGAAGAGAAGAGTCAGAGGATCTGCGGGGCCGTCCTTGTTCATAAACTTAAAGCATCTCTGAGATGTAGTCTTATATCAAATCTCTCTTCTTTTTTATCTTTTAAAGGTCACATATTCTGCAAAATGCACTTCACCATGTTTCTGTCACATTAATATGTGTACCTAGTCTGTCTACAACTGTCCTCCAATGATGAGAAAGTCCATCCTCTCCGTCTTTTGCCTGCTCCGCTTTTCAGAAAATGTGTGCTCAAACAGGCCGTTTGGAGATTTTCCCTTCATGACATCACAAAGGGCAGTAGCCCCTCCCCCAGGTGGGTGACAGTTGCACAGCTAGGTGTTTGTTCTGCCCTCTGAGTAAACAATAGGACATGGTGCGAGAAAGCTTGAGCCACCCAAGCCCTTCCAGAGAGGGGGCGTGGTCAGATACAGCTCATTTACATTTAAAGGTACAGACACAGAAACAGCCTGTTCTGAGCAGGGCTGAAATAGAGGGGTTTATAGGCATGATCAAATACAGGATCAGAGTGGATTTAGAACAAGAAACTTCACAGACATGTTTTGGGGATTTCTGAGGCTTATTTAAACTTGTTGAAAAGGAAGATAATATGTGACCTTTAAAGTATTTTGTATTTCAACATCTAATCTCTAATGCTCTGAATGGTCTTAATATCGTGTTTTTATGCTCTTGAAAACACTTTAATTTGCTCTATGTATTAATGTTTTTTATTTTTTCAAATCAAAGTACCTTTACTTCCCCAACCTTTTAAAATTGGCTAAAATCTAAAATCAGACTATTAAAGCTCTGACACTGTAATAGCCAATAATTTGTTCTTTATCATTTATCTGCTGGGTTACAGGGAGAAAAGAGGTCAGAGGTTCATGAGGACTGTTGGTCTAGAAAAACAGTTTGGATTGAATTCCATGAATATTTGGCATACAGCGCTTAATGGTCCCCAGACTTAGAATCATGATCACTTCAGTGACCCTCTGACTTTTCATCTGACACCACCAGCAGGTCTAAGTAGTATTGATGTGCACATATATTGCCGCTATTTGAGGCTTAATTTGAACATACTTGTCGCCAGAATAGAATGTATGTATACAACCTATATATTTATATATACACTGTCGACGGTTGCCAGGCAGACGACACCTGATGATATGGTGCGTTTGCATGTCAAAAAATAGCAGCACGTTTAGTCTTACGGTAGATGCAGATTT